AGGCCATGCCAAGGCTGCGTGGCCTCGGACAGGCTAGCTGTGGCCTGCGCTAAAGCCCACAAAGGTATACACCAACAACAGCAATCACAGCAGCACTAAGAAGAAGACCCAGAAGCATCACAAGATCAGAAAAACCACTAGCAACAGGCAGCAAGAAGCATAGTAGCAATGCCTCTGTTCTGGCTGTGCTAATAGACTGGCGGCTGTTTGCGGGGGCCTTGTTGGACAGCCCAGGTGCTGAGCCAGCAAGGCTTGTGCTGCGGCGGTCCAAAATGCCTCACGTCGCCTTCGGAAGCCCATAAGAAGAGAGGAGGCAGGCTTCGGACAGGCCACAGAGAGGCCGCAACAGGCCTGCCAGCTGCCGAGGAGCGTTTGAAGGCGGTCCAAAATGCCTAACGTCGCCTTCGGAAGCCCATAAGAAGAGAGGAGGCAGGCTTCGGACAGGCCACAGAGAGGCCGCAACAGGCCTGCCAGCTGGCGAGGCCTCGGACAGGCCTTTGGAAGTGCTTGGAAGGGTTCTGCTAGGCTTGGCCAACTGCTTCACCCTGCGGTGTCCCAGGCGCCTCCCCGCCTAGGCTTTGGCTATAGGCCGGGGTCGGCGGATATCTTGAGGAAAGAAATCCAAACCAGTCAAAACATGTCAAATACCCCTGCCATTGTTTAATCTTTCTCACTTTCCCGTCCTCCCAAATGATGTGGCATCTGCCCAAAACAATCTCATCTGTGCCGAAAAAGGCACTCAGTCACGACACGACACGACGTCGGACACGACCTCAGCCTCTGGCGGCCGACCTGTGTCCTTCCTGTCGACCGAGCCTCCGAGTGAAACGCTCCAGGACACCGGCCTCTCGGAGTGTTTGCCCAAGGACCGCGTGTCCTGCGCCGCTTTTTCCCGTTCGAAGCGCAACGGTCGACCGCGGATCGAGCGGGTCTGCCCCAATTTCTGAGACGTCTTCATGATCGGAGCAAGCATACTTGAGGCTTCAAGTCTCCCAGCTTTAAAACCTGACTGTTTGGGGCCTCTCTGTTTTTTCTTCAAACTTGGGGTGCGGAAGTGCGGAGTTTCTCCCCTCCAATCCAACCCGGTGGAGTTGTTGTTCACTTCACCATCGATCGAAAGCGACCGGTCGGGGGGAAAGCGACCGGTCGACGAAGCCTCGTCCGAGAGGACTTCTATACAGAGTGCCCATTGATGTGCAGCGAGACGCAAGGCCCAGAAGCGTACCGAACGGCCGCTGGAGCGGACCAATGCGATGTTTCGCACAGCTGGAACCGATGCGTCCGTAAGCATCAAGCTTCTATAGTGCTAGCAACAGCTGTATTCACCGATCAAAAGACGTCATGTTTGGAGCGATGTCGACTGCAAAGGCATTCCTGTAGCTGGGAACAGGGTAAATGATAGGGCTTTTCATTTGTCAAACATGCACAGGGACAAAAGTAGGTAACAAACTTGTGTGTACATCACCTACAACCCGTTCCCCTTAGAATCCTACAGGGGATCACAGTCACAGTAGAATGCCGGCGGATTGGTTTCCACCTCAAATTACATTTATAACCATTTATAGATATTTTATAGTTATTTATCGTATTAATATAACTAAGTTCCGGGTGGAAACTAGTCCGCCAGAGTTCCATTGAGAAAGAAAAGTGATGTCAATGACATTCTCGAGTGAACTTGTTACCAAGCTTTTGTCCTCCTGAAGTTATATGTTCATACTTGTAGAGCAAACAGGACCTGAGTAGAGGTTGGTGGGCTGTTTTACTCACGTTTAGCCGCTTAGCCGTTTAGCCTCTCAAACCTTTCGTCACGATCGGAGCTGGGATCTTACAGTAAGGGATTTTACCATTTGGAAATTGTACCGCCGTAATTGTAGATTAAATTGACTGAAACAATCGACCAACATGGCTTTACAGTAATGACATCGCGAGCATGGACAGTTTGATGCATCAACCACCTACAGTCATAACATCACCTGAATGGTTGGAGGCACCGACGCGAGAGGAACTGCATTGGTTCCATCACCAGCTCAAAAAACCGTCTGGTACCTGCACCCGACTCGCCCGACCATGCGTGTTTTGGACCACACGCCGGCGCAGGCATTTGTAGCACCATCAGCTTCGACACCAGTGGATTCCCGAGCCTCGCATCCAAAAGCCACCGGAAGAGTAGAGGGTCAGTAGGGATCACCCGGACGTTTTTTATGTGAATTCTTGTGGGGGTTCTCATGGTTTCTCTTATATGGGCAACAAGAATGTCCACCATGCAAATCTAGCTTGGAATTGTTGTCTCATGTGTTTTGAGTGCGTTTTAGTTTTCCGGGTAACGGTAAGTGTACGCATTGAAGGAACATTGCGGAACATTACTTTGTTGACCGACCACTTTCATCATTTTGTTTGATAGATATCGACGTAATCGTTTGCTGCCCTGACTATCTGAGAGCATGCAAAAGACACCCTCGCTCGTTTGTATCTTAAATCGGCCAGTGCATTGCCCATGTCCCTACAATCCTTGCTCATTGGAATTTGAGGGTTCCTGTCTTCTAGTCGGAGTGCCTTCCAAATTTGGATCCACTGGTTGGCATGTAGATAAAAATAGAACGGGATTCAAGAGACCAATAGAACAGAATCAGACAGACAAAAGTACAGAACAGAAGCAAGCACACATGCCCTAGTTTGATGGTCCTCAGGTCTCCTAGTCCGCTGGCCTCTAGGTTTGCTGGTTCGCGTGCTGCTGGTCCCTTGGTCTTCTTCTTTGGTTTTCTTCACCTCGCCTTCTCATTGCCACTGGCTGGTTTTGATCAACTGTCTTTATAGAAGTTGCAATAACTACTATGCATGTTATTGCAAGACACATCAACATACAGTCCTTGAGCCGTTTAGAATCGTTTAGACGGCCCTTGCATCTCAAAAGTGTTTGTTGATTTGCCGCAAGGATCTATGCCGACTACTGCCACACCGGAGAATGCCCAGTGCAGTGTGATTCAGCGACTGGAAAGAGGCACCGTTGCATTTGTGTTTCGCTGCCATTTTCCACATGAGGGATGGTCTAGTGTGCCCACAAGGGGATGTCAAACAAGTTTGCACATGTCACTTGCACTCGGCTCAGCTGCAGGGTTCATTGGACGTGCTTTTGCCGGGTACATTGGGCGGTCACCGATATGTTCTACCGTGGGTCTCCTTGCCGCCACGATTGTCAAGTATTGACAACGACAAGGATAATTTGACTTTGACAAGAATTGAGTGGCATCTCGACGAGCGTGCAGATGCACATCATGTCTTGGGGACACCTGGAAACCAGTTTGCTTACCAGAAAGTGTGTTTTTGTTTACGCTGAGAGGCTGCATTGCAAGCTTTAACTCAGAGGCTCGAAAGTCTCAAACTCCAAACCAAGCGTGACTGCAGAGTACCAACCGATGCAATGGCTGGCGAGATTGTACTAGTGACAAACATGTTAACAGGGACCATGAAGAAGTGAAAGTACAGCAGCAGGTACACCGAGTTGATCAGACTCGGTATCCCATGATTGTGGTAGCTTCGTTGAGTGCGGTCCCACAGTCATGCCGCACTCTCCTGCATAATCCAACCAAGAAGAAAAGCCACAAGGTTACCTATGAATCCAAGGTGTACACGCACCAGCTTGGTCACTGCTTTCTAGCACCCCATACACACACCAGCTTTGGCCAAAAAGACAGCTTTAGAGTACAAACTGCTTCTTAGCGCCACACACACACACACCAGCCTTGTCCAAAAAACAGTTGCGTGATACAGAACTGCTTTCTAGCACCAGACACACCAGCTTTGTCCATCAGACAGCGTCAGGCTCCAGACTTGCTTTCTGGCACAAGACACATAGCAGACACTGCAGCTTTGTCAAAAAGCAATTCAGGCTCCAGACTTGCTATCTAGCACCACACGGACTAGGCTTGTGCAAAAACCAGCTTTGTCCAAAAAACACGAAGAATCCGGAAGATGGCAAAGGGATGCTTTCGACGTACCACCTCATGAATGGTGTCAGCTACCTCTTAACAGTTGTGAGGGAGACGGATCAGAAGCAAATCCGTGTTTTGATGGACGAGGAACAGTTTGGGGGTTTAAACTGTTTAGGTGTCTTGGATTGGGTCGAGTTGAACGGTTCACCTTAGTCGTGAAATCGCCTTTTCTTTTTCGCGATTTCACAGTTCCTTGTCGTGGAAAGGCTTTTCATTTTTGTCGCGGAAACTGGCCACCCTCACATATGATCTCATCAAGCTGCCTATTTAATAGGGGTCACGCGTCAGGCTTGACCATGCATCCTTCACATGATGTGGAGTTGATCGAATGTGCCTTTGTAGGTTTCCTAGAAGTGCGTAGCCTCCATGAACCCCTTTGGACGACTGTTTGACTGCTTGTCCTTGACAGAACGTTGAATTTCTTTCGTTGTATATAGATGGTGCATGACACTTTCGTTTCTTTAGCAATGTTTTGTTGAGGGTTCCTACCGTGTTTGGTGCTTTAGGGTGCTGCAAGGCTTCCAGTTTCACGTTGACGGTTTTTTGCTGTAAATCACCACAATATAGACATGGGCGAAAGGACACACATTTTTAACCTCATGAAGGCACAGTGAATTCGGAGATCTTCAGAGTACATAGTATATACTATATACCATATACATTCCCAATCTAAATCGGTCAAAGAGGTAAATGTGCATCACTTGAACCTTCACACTTGCCCTGTATTCGTTCAGAACGACCACTGGATTGAGGAAGCGGTTCCAACAGTGACGGCAGTGAACCGTTCTCACTTCCGCCGGGCGTCCTTCGCCTCTTCGCGCAGGTGTGGTATCTCCGAGACGGAGAGCGACTGCGTCTCTTGGGAGACGGCGTGTTTTTGGGAGACGATGCTTTTGAATTTTGTGTTTGGTATTTGTTGGGTGAACTTTTGGCCTAATCTGGGAAAGAATTGCTGTGTTATGTGTTTTGTTTTTGTTCTTTTCCCTGGCCTTCCGAAACAAAAGCATCCGAGGTCTTCAAGGACTTCTCCTGCCCAGTGGTGTGCACCGATGCGCAGCAGTACTGCTGGGTGGACCCTCAGAACGATTGGGGATGGAGTACTGTCTGTGCGTGATGACTTGTTTTGGTCCGGGTAGACACCACAAATTAGGTGGTGACAGTTTTTTGATGCCCAACTAATAACAGTTCTGAGATACTGTCAGGATTTTTGTTGAGCTCATCCCTTCACAATGATCCCTCAGCTATAGGTATCTATAGGTGTATCGATCCATTTGGTGTTTCTTTTGGCACAATACAGTCTGTGAAATTCTGCTTCCGCACGTCGTCTTTCTTCCGCTCTCCGTGGCCTTAGGAGAACTACGACAGCTCGGGCATGTGGACGGGCTCCTCTGAGCAGTGCCACTTGGGCCGGACTAAAGGAATGTTCACATGTTTCAGAAAGGGGGAGAAGCTGCACCAGCATCCTCCGACTTGTTTCACCCTTCATTCGGAGCCTCCCAAACAACCTGCCAGAGTTGGACGCTGCCTCAACGGCGGCTCCAGCCCTCGAATCCTCTCGGTCTACAGGTGGGTTGAAACCATCATGCCCGGACGATGGGCGTTTCACTCGGGGCCTGAGCGCAGGAGTGCAGGTCTTTGCTTAGCTTCGAAGGGTTTATACATGAATGAGCCACACGAGGCATACCCCCTAGGTATACTCTATAGATGGCCGGGTCCCTCTAGTCTAGTCTAACCATCTCCTTCGCACATCAAGTCCTTCGCACCGACTCAGATCGTTGGAGCTCGTGCTGAGACCGAGACGGACGTGCGACACGCCATTCAGGCGTGAACGCTGGTGAGACGTGCCCGTGCGGCACAGGCGCCAAGAAGTGCAGCTTTGGTGAGGACCGAGTGAGAAAACGTGGCGATGACCAGTGACGTGGTAAGGAAGGTGGGCCATATTGGCGGCCATTTGGCCAGATGACACTGTACTGGGTAGGGCTGGGGTGAGGATGGAAGAAAATGGGGTCACATGCGGCATGATGCCCGATTCTGTGCTGCTGCTGAACATAATGTTTCTTGTGTTAAGTCCGAGGTCCGAACTAGCTATCCCAGTGAACCGACAAGCAACATAACCCTTCTCATCCCATGCAGTCACTGCATGTCACACACACACACATGTACACACGTACGTATGCCAGTGGTTAATTTCTTTGGACGTTCTGACTGAAGACTCCACAAAATCGACTTGCAGGGACGAATACAGGTGCATTTCTAGGCTGCTATACAGAAGGGTCGTTCCAATGGGTCATTTATATAGATTTAAGTAACTATAAATATATATACATATATATTTAGATTCAAGTTATGTTTTATGTTTTCAATCATCACTTCATATTATAAACTTAAGCTCAGTTTCCATCCCAATTCTTTTTTCAGCCCAGACGACCCCATCATGGCATAGCGTCGGCTCCACCTCGAGCCGTCGTTTCGGTGGTTTCGGTGCGCGAGGACGGTTGGTGCCAACCAGCAGCTGGGTGGCACCACAGGTGGAAAGACATCTACCCTAAGAATCCGGACCCTCAAACACATAGGGTTTTGAGGGCCCGGACCCCTGCTATGGAGGGTCCGACCCCTGCCATGGAGAGCCCAAGGATTCTTAGGGTATATAGAAACCTAGGGTATACTATCCTGGATGGAAGCACCTATAGAATTAACCTATATCGAAACCTATAGGAAACCAAATTACTATCCCTATAGGCTCCTGGCCCACCTTCCGTTTCGGTTCGGTGGGACTGGGGGCCCGAGTGGGTTCCTGTGGGTGCCTCAGTCCCTCCCTTCTGAGAAGCTGGGGTGGTTGCAGCTCAGCTGGGTATACTCCCATAGGGATAAGTCAAGTACCTCTGCGACTGGCTGGCACCGTCTCATCACAGTGTCGAACGGCCGGCCTCACCCTTCGTTTCGAAGGTATGACTGGATCCCTATTAGGGCTGGAGAACCAACAATCTAAAGTCACTGTGATCGAATGATATTGGATTGGGAGTGTTTTTTTGTGGATCGACTGTCACGTCCATGCATCCGGGACAATCCGGGACGGCCGCACGCGTCTTGGTGCGAGTTTGCTGTATTTCGGGCATGCTTGCACCCCCCCCGCACTCATGGTCTACTGGAACATGGGACCTCAGGCTTGAGCGGTTGGACCAGGTTGGATCCCGGGGCCGACATGGCCCGTGGTTTTTCTACCAATCCGGCTTGGATGTCTGGTGGAATCTTTCGGACTGTGCAGTGAAGAATCCCGCCACCCGCCTTATCACCCTGAACGAACTGAACTCCATCAGCACAACTGTTTTTCTTGATCAGACACCCAGTCCAACCAACCAACCACTTAGTACCACCAATTGAAACATCGCCCATTCACCACGCCGTCTTCGCGCCGAACTGGGCCGAGTCCAGCGAACCCTGCCCGGTCTACTGCGATCCGGTGAACGAGAAGACCTGCTGGCCGATGGCCTTCACAGTCAGTGGTGGCTTGGCAGAAACTTCTACCAAACAGGTATCTATTTGATTACTTTTTTGTTTACCTGATATAGTATGATAATAGTATATGATATAGTACATATACAGTATCTAATATGTACATCATATAGGTGTGTGCATATGCATGTGTATTAGAATATATATATATATATATTGCCATACGTGCACCCGTCATCAACGCCGGTCATCAACGTTCGCTCACATGGACACCCTCACGAGGTGAGCCAGACTATGGGGCCACCATCCAGGAGGTGTGCGTGAACGCCAGCAAGTGCCTTGGAGCAACACGTTGGATGTAAGACCTTATACGGACACCCCCCTGGGTACATGACCTTAATGGAACACAATTAGATGTCAGATGCTTTTGGACCTGTTAGATGTATATTGATAAATAATGATAGATCTATGCATTGCATATACTATAGTACTGTTCACACACACTCACATAGAGATAGATCTTGAAGATCTCTACAAGTGGGTCATTTGTCGTTTGGACTCCAGACCGGAGTCTGATTACCATATAGCAGCAATACATATATAGCCTATAGACAAAAATTGACAAGAAAAAACTGGATGCAACGATGATACCCTCCTGTTGGACATGATGAACTTTCTGTCCACCAGGCAGACATTTTGTGTGATTTTCTATTCCAAGAACACCAAATGGTCGGTAGTTCTTGACCGCCCAAACCTTTAGGCTGGCTATTGGAACCAAGATTTCGTGGGTGAACTGTGGGTCCTGACCTTTTGGAACTCATGTTCACTATCCCTTACATGTGGATTGTACAACATCCTATGGTGGCTGGGTTGTCTGTTTGGGTCGGCCCCCACGAGCCTTGGGTTCCCTGAAAACGGGTCTGCGAGCAAGCCGGTTTGGGGCTTGGGCCTGGTAACCCGCCCCTTGGAGCATTCCCATAGGGTCCCTGAGTTCGCCAGAGTTTGGCAAGAGATCATGCTCAGGATCAGACAGAATGATGTGAGATGGAGTGAGGTGAGGTTTGTGATGTCCATGATGGAGTGAGGTGATGTGAGGGCTCAGGATCAGATTTGGTCCATCCCTGCTTTTTGAGCCCTCAAAAGGGGCCTGGTCAAACAGTCAAACCCCACGATGGAGGGGGAAGGTGTCGTAGATATATTTGCATTCAGACCCAAACATGGCTGCTTGCAGTGTTTGTGATAGCAGGAGGTTATTTCAGACAGCAGCTAGAAGCAGTGCAATCGATCCCTACGAGTGAAGGATGAAGCAGGGAAGCAGGCTAGAAGCAGTGCCAAAGTCAATGTTGAAAAAGCTACCTTTTCAAATACCATGGCTCCTTCCTATGCTGAGAAGCTGCCTGATATCCGTTTTTGTGCCTATGCACTCGTATGCACTGAGAGCTGGCTCAGTCATCGTGTTTCGGCTAGTAATGTAGACTCTTGATCAAAGAGACACATTTGGATTGTAAGACCATCTTCAAATGGGGGTTTGATGAATCAAGAGTCTACATGACTTCAGCTCCCTCCCAAGATCTCTCTCAGCACAATGGATCCACCACCACTTCCTTCCCCTCGAAAATGCCGTCGTTCGATGGATCAAGGCCGAGTCGTTCGATGGCCGAGGCCTTGCCCTTGTGGCGCCAATGCCAAGATGTGCCGATGGGTGGAAACTCGTTTTTGGATCTTTCTGGATACAGTAGTTTCTGCGGGCTTCTGGGGGTGATTGGAGCTTAGGGGTGACTGGTTTTTACAATAGTTCATATATATACTGCTGAGGGTGTAATTCAGGGGTGACTCTTATTCTTCCGAACTGGGTGAATCCCCCGTAACTGGGTGAATCTCCCGGCTTCCTCAACAGCACATCCAAGGTAGCTGATGTGGCTTGCCGGCTTTCTGCAAGCCGGACTCCCAAAAATGTTGATAGGTGTTGATATGTTGATTTGCTCCATGTCTGCCATATTTGACGATCAATTGGCGCGGTATATACATCGAGTGTTTGTGATCACCTTTTTGTCAAAAAGCGTGTGGACTCTACGGATCCATCATGATCCCTTACAAAAAGACTTCCCTATTTCCAGGATTTTGGCTTCGGCTTCCTGGTTGGCTTTGTTGGCGGCATTCGTCTGACTTATCCTTTGCGGATCTGGAATGAGTCAGTGTAGAGGGCACGAGCGAAGTGGACATCCTCAAGCGCTTAACCGGTAGCGAGTTCGAGTGGCAGGCAGTGGCAGGCCCATGTGCAGCCAGAAACGTTTTGTTGGAGTTATTGTGTGTTATGAACATACCGTTGTATGCACATGTATAGCTAGTATTACTATATATTCACAGTGCAGGTTCGCAGGTCCTTTCAATTCCAAGGCACAAGGGGCTGGCTACAAGCTCCATTCATGTTGCAATTTCACTGTTTCATGTGTGTCCTGTCTCGGACTGTGCTTGTGATGCCATGTTTGCATGTTTCATGATTGGTATTGAAACTGGTTTTTGTGGGTCCTTCAGCTATTTTCCTTGAGTCACGAGGCCTCAAGCTGGTTTGTTGCTTGTCCCCTAAACCAACCCCATGTGGGCACAAAGATCTCAAGAACATGGGGACCTGCCCCCAGCGCCGCAAAAACTGTTCGAGATATATCAGGATCAAACTTGGGGGGTTGCTCCTGGTCATGCCACCATCTATTGGTTTCAACATCAATATCAACTATAGAAGAATTCCTGTCAGAGGGCTCATGGTCGTGTACAGAGTTTAGACTGTGGCCTTATTAGCCTTAATGCATGATGTTTTTGTTCATCATGTGGTGCGAACCAAGAAGTTGCCAGTGCTGATATGTGGATATATATATATATAGGGTGGCCCATTCCATCAATGGAGCATTTTCTGTATATAATCAGCTGTCTGGAAAAAGGGACAGTGGCTGCAAAGGATATATATATATAAATAGATTTCAGGCTGCTGCTAGGATGTTTCAAAACATATTTCAAGACATCACAACCTCAAGTTGCTAGATCATGAGAGGTAGCATGAACCTGTACTGTACCATGTTCTACTCAGTCACAAACATATATTGACCATCATTTGATAGTGTTGACAATGGTTCTCTAGTGCAAGTCCTTTGCTCAACCTACTTGAACAAACACATAAGCATAAGGACATACTTTGAATCCAAGAATCAGGTCCTTTCAGGTCCAAGAATTGAATCCAAGAGAAGTTCTGCTTTTTTTCATTCGAGCTGAGGATGAATATGGGTTTGGAGCCTCAGAGTCTGGGTTCACTGTCTCCTCCCATCCGGACCGTCCGTGGATCCAGCACCGAGTGCGCTCGCGCCCGAGCCGACGGAGTCTCGTGACTTTGGAAGGGTTGGGCATTGGGTCATGTTGGGTACGGCCGGAAGGGTTGGACGATTGATTCAGATTCAGAGTCACTCCAAAAAATGGTCGCCTTTGGTAACGAATGGTCGCCTTTGCAGCGAATAATTCCCGCCATGAACACAGGCGAGGCAAGCCTCATGGGTGTGTCAGATTCCAAACCAACGATCTGCTCAACAAACCTCCCGTGCCCGGCCGCCCTTTCTCAGTTCCCCCAAACCACGCACGCGCACGCCGCATGAGGCAGTCAGAGGAGTTCTGCGAGCCGTTGACCATGACCTGCCCCTTAACCTGCAAGGCCGACGAGCGGATTTGCTACCTGCAGGCGCGAGGGAAGTTCCCCATCTCCGCCTCCATCGATGTACGTGCCCCGGTGAGTTTCGGTGCCAGTCGTCAAGTCGGGCCATGGGAAGGATAAACATATATTTGGATGAAAATGGAAGAAGAAACCTATGTGTCCCTAAAAATCTAGGAACCAAATCAGTAGTGCGAGCGCTTCTTCAAGGAAGCTTGAGTTTCCTTGAAAAAGTTGCGTCCTAGGTAGTGTTTCTCGCCTGGGTGTTCGGTGACACTTTGATGGGACCCCAAGTGCTTTTGAACGACACCCTGCACCAGGTGAGACAAGGACAATCAAAAAAAATGTAAAACAAATGATAATCGATTGAAATTTCCTCTTCTGAATCATCAGGGCTAGGTAGCCTAAACCCTGAAAATGTTGTGCAGGGAGCTCGAAATTCCAACAGCAATCAAGAATTCAAGAATCTGACTGGTGCGACGAGAGTAGTGAATTGGACGTTTCGCTTCCAATAGAGTTTGTATAGCTCTTGACAGTATAGGTCTCGCAGAAAAAGGCGACCCCGTGGTTTTGCAGCAGTATTTCTTGTGTTAACAAAAGAAACCAAACTGTAGCCGGTGGCACGCTATAGCTTTCGGTGGTGGCACAGGAAGGGAGTCGTGCCCGTCACGACGCAGGACTACGACCCTGCTGGCGTGCCTTTGAAGGAACGACAGGCGAGCGTCGGAGCCCGGTCTGGGTCCGGAACGCCGTGTTTAGTTGGCGGTGGTATGTTTGATGTCCATTCCAAGAGAGGTAGCCAGTGACCGTAAATAGGACCCTGGCCCGTCACCTGAGGTACCGAACTGGGGTGGTCAAAAAAGAGTTATTCAACCTCTGTTGGTTGTTTGTTGGCTTTGGAAAAAATATCAGAACAAGTTTCAAGAATCATAAGACCTTCAATCCCAGCAATGTTGTTGAGACGCACCATATTTTTCACATCACTGGTTTATGTTGTTTTTGGATTCCACCATTTTGGTGTCCACGTCGAATTTGATGGAACCCTGTTTTGAAGGTGTCGCGTTGATGAAGTACATACAGATTTGTTTAGGTCAGTGCTAGAATGGACGATACCATGAATTACCGTCCAATCTCAAGCCTCCCAAAACTGTAAAACTGACAGACAATCGACCCCTCAATGACAACTAGACTATCAACCACTCTTGATCAAGTGTCCTTTTGGCGCATGTGCCATCATCCCCCCCACTACTACATCATTCCCTTGGCGAAAACTCATCTCCCAACCAATGCTACCACACTAATCCACTTCACTCAGCTGTCCAATTTTGTTTGCAACTCTCATTGCAGACGCTTCAGACTGTCTCTTTGATGCCCACCTTCAATTCACATGACTCACTGTGCGTCTTGTGGCAAAAAATGTGCTTCCAGACCTCCTTCCAGACCCCCAGGACAAGCAGAGCACCCCCGCCAGGCATGCGAGAAGCGGTCCACTCCCTGCAAATGTGGCCTCCGTGCTCAACGCTGCCATGATCCTCAGACGGCGCCTCGCAGCGGAGAGTCTGCCGTTTCCGCAGTCGCAGAATGTCGACGTAGATGGGTGGCTAAGGTCTGCAAAAGAAGGTAGGCAGAAGAGTAACTGGATATATATCTAACGTTGAATGACTCTGTGGTAATTACATTATAAATCATTACAAACATGTACAAAACATTATATATACTGCATATAAAATGGCTACTGTAATTACATCAATTGTAGTGGTTTGTACTGTAGTTTGTTTGGTGTTGAGATTTGATTTTAGAGCCATAGTGCTCGGGTGAAACAAGAACAACGGCTGCAGATATGTATATGAGTGTCAGTTGTTTTGCCAGTAGATCAACTCTCAGGTCTTCAAGAAATCCAGGAATGTCAAGCTTTAGGGAGTGCAGATTTGCTTGCTTAGGGGGGGGGACGATACGTGACGGTATCAACTCTCTTGAGAGATGGCACCATGGTCAACATGCTCCGATCCCAAGGATTTGGGAAACCACTAAACTGCTTGGGTTGAAACGTATGGACCGCAGTGAAACGTATGTGTTTTAAACGAGGCGACCGCGGACTGTTGCAAAACATCTCCTCGTTGTGTGACCATGTTGGCCATGCGTTTAGTTGGCGTTTGGCGGTCCAGGATGAGTACTTCTGCTATCCGCTCCGAGATATGTTCACCAACAGTGTCTTGGCTTCATGTTGGGAGGATTTGTGCTTGCTGTCAGACCATCCGCCTGGATAGGCTTTAAGCCGTGTCTGATGTCAAGTGAACATGTTCCATGCTCTTCAATTCAGAGTCATTCAACTAGTGGGCCTAAACCTGATCATCGCAGAATCGTTCTCTCCCCTTGAGGCTGGCTTGTTCGAATGCATTGTTCATCGTGGGAGGCCCACCCTGCAACAACAACAACACACGCACACAACCCCCGAGCAGAACATTCCACCCCTATCCAGGACAAGTGGGTCACCTGCAAAACCTTTTTGGTGGGATTGGGCAGACCCACTAAACAAGAACTATATATCTATATAGTATAGGTGGAGTTCGTTTCGCTCGGAAGTTCGGCTCGTCGGTCAGACCTCTTCCCCGTGCCTCCTTTCGTGTGTTCTCCAGTGTCGGGGTTCGAAGCCGGATGTGGCTCTGCGTTCCGGGCACGCACCGAAGACGAAACTCCGGCCGCGCGCTAAGCTTCCATGCAGTGCCCGGTATTCTGCAAAGCGGATGAAGAGTATTGCTATGTGGACAGCACCTCGTCGCGGTGGCCAGTGGCGAATCTGGGCCGACGCATGTCTCTGGTGCGGTTGTAGGAAGGGATACATACACAGGTTCCCGTGTCTTTGTCTTAGTGGTTTAAATCAGAGATGCCTCCGCTCCACTGTTCTATGGATGACGATACTCACAAGTTGGAACAACTTGGTATATTAATATCATATCATATCATATAGTTTTATATCTTTCTATACCTTTTTCTGTTCGTTCTATTCATCGTGGGTTGTGGTGGGCCATCCTGAACATGGCAGGTCAGGCATCAACACACTCCCCCCCGTCCAAAGTTCGAACCCGCAAATGCAAAATTTAGACTAGCCTGAGACAAGAAACCAATATCATAAATTTCCTTATGTGAAAGATCCGTTTCAGTCCCCACCTTCGCTTGTTCCATCCAATCGACCTTTCGACCGTCCGAATTCGACCTTTCGACCGACCGGGATCAGCTTTTCTTAGGTTACAGCGCCAGTGGGCGATGGCTCAGCGTCACGGAGAGCTGTGTGGCCAGAGCTGCAGAAAGGTGAAACTGTGGGACCAGAAACTGAAGATGTGAAACTATGCTTCAGAGATGGCTGTCTTGCCATCTCTGTGTGTCCAGGGAATCGTTGGTGATCGGGTGTGATGTCCATCCAGCTGGAAGTCACTTCTAACTGACTGTAGCGACCTCGACTGAGTGTAGCGACCTCGAGAGTTCAGTTTTGAATGAACCGGCTAGGCACCCGAAATAGTGGATGAATTGAACCTAGTACTATGCACGTTTCTGCAACTGAAAGCGACCCCATTTCTACTAAGGAGAGAAATCTGAGCTATTTTTTAGGAGAGGTGATCGCTCTTTCTAGAACCCTACCACCACGTGACTACAATTATGGGTGTGTTTTTTAATAGGGTGACCTCTAGACTTACACTCTGACTCACTAACATGGAAGTGGATGGCATGGTCGCTTGGAAGACGATTTTCCTCTACAAGCAGTGGGTTTTCCATTTCCATGTGATGTGTTCGTCGGAGTGTAGTATGTGTTTTACTTCCCAAAGGTCTTCTACGGTCCCAAGTGGTCAACTCTTCAGTTCTGGCACCCTAAGAAGCGGTAGACGGGTCTGTCCCAGGGACGAGCCTCCCAGGGACGAGCCGTCGGTCAACAAGAAGATCACGTATGTTAGAACAATGTTTGCAATGTTCTTTGATAATCTTTGATAAAGAATCATTGCCCGTGACCGTCGGGAAAGGATTTTCACTACCTAACCATCGTCTTCCAGCTCGCCGGGAATGGGGAAGCCCCGCAAAGAATCGGCAATTATACAGTTGTTCGTCAGGGTCTCAGTGTAAACCACCGCCCCTGACTTCATGCTGTATGACCCAGAGGTGTGTTCTGATGTGTTGAAGCACATGCTAGCTTGGTGATGTATATGATTGGATAAGGAAATGAAATAATGATTATTATATAGCCGTTGTACTGATGAACCCTGATTATAATGTAGTTATATATATATATCGTATATATATATTATATGACACATTTGCGAAGATTCCTGGCTGGTGGAAATCTTGTCATCGCCGCCATCCGTCCTGAGGTGAAGAAAGGACAGCCATGCGATTGCTCTCAGGGGCAGAACGCCAGATCCTGCAACTTCACCGACCCTTGGCAGGGACGTCGACGATGGCGTCCAAACAAATGAAACGGGGGAGCGCAACAGGTTTATGATGGTTTATGTACTTCAAGGACTTGAGTATACTTGAGTGATGGCTCACATCTCAGGGTTTGTACCTATGGCACCCTCTTCTTTATTCTTCATTTCAGGGGCAAGCTGTGTGGGACTGCAACTGCAAAATATGATGTCTAGTCTTTAAAGCATTTCTTCCACACCAGGACACTTCAAGCAGAAGATATGAGTGAGCCGGATGGCCCAAAGGATGGCCGCGCGAACCGCTGGTCGGTTCGCTTTCACCGCTTTCACCGGGACGTCGCGAACGGTGCGGACGGCACTGGCAGGGAAGGCCGTGTGAGCCTGATCCAGAAAAGCCTTAAATGGACGATGCATCGGTAGGGACAGACATTGGATGGCTGGATTGGTTCCTAAGCGAAGCAACGGACATAAGCTCAGGGCGGCTGATCCGCAGATCCAGCGACCAGAATTCCTTGCGAGTCGCGCCGGTGAAAGCAAGAGTACCATTTGGGATCATTTGGGTGTGTTTTAAATAGCAAGACTTAAATAGGGAGAGCGCCTGGCCCGGGTAGACTGGTCTATGTTCCTTCTTCCAGCGGGGTTGAACTGGATGTGCGAATGTAGCTTCGAGCGTTGGATCCCGGTCTTTCGGGACGCCGAGACACCGCCGTCCGGACGTCCGAGGATGGCTTTGGGAACTACTGGCAGGAATGCATTGCACTGAAGGGAGGCCGAGCGACGTGAAAGCGATAGGCTTTGTGTAAGACTGGCTTTGATATGCCATTATATACGTTATATATATATATATGTGTAGAATTAATTAGAACTACTGTATACTATACATTCTAATTACTTAATGTTACAATATTAATTGTATACATAATGTAATTAAATGTAATTAATCATATGCGTGTATTTTTAGAATGATGTAGAATGTAAGTAGTATGAAGTGCACCAAATGGAGGAACATGTGCAGCCTATCAAGCTTGATTTGAATTGCACAATTACGCGGATTGCCCTATCCAAGCAACTCACGAACAATACACCTTGGCAGACATTAAGCCGCGAGTGGGCGCTGTGTTTATTTGCTGCAATCAGTAATTTAATTTGATGGTGGGAAATGTGTTTGTACACTCTGTGCTGAACAAATTTCCGCCCCAATCCCCTCAAGCATAACTAAGCTATTGACAAACCCGTCGTGTACCACGTTTGACCCAAGACGAGATACCAGGATCACCGTCCGCAAACTGCGCTACCCATCAAGCTACCCATCAAGCTTACCACCTGATGAAATGTGTTGCTAAGTACAACGCACTTGCCTAAATATTGCTTAATACATACCGGTTTTTGCTGTATATTACTTGGCGGGAGGCCGACTTTGTCCATTGATTTGTCTGGAGGATCAGCTGTTTGTTTGATGGTTTTGATGGGTTGCATCCAACCATTTGTTTCACTGATTTGACCATGAAGCTAGGTGGACCATGTCACGAAAGCTAGCGAAGCTAGCTGGAGTTACTCTTGCGATAGCAAGGTTTCTTTCGACCGGGTGCAAATCCTAACCCCTGATTATTCAGGTCGAAGACCCCCCCCCCTCCTCCCCTCTCCCCACCTCCCCTTTCCCCACCTCCCCCCCTCTCCTCCTCCTTGTCTTCCTCCCATCTTCCCTCCCTCCCTCCTCCCTCCTCCCTCTTCGCAAGTTCGACTCCGTCCTGTCGTGGCTCTTTGGCATGGGGTTAGCGTTGCGTATCTTGCGGCCGCACTCGCTCACTCTCACTCTCACTCTCTCACTGTCTCACTGTCTCTCTCATCTCTCTCATCTCTCTCATCTCTTTCTCATCTCTCTCATCTCTCTCTCCTCTCTCTCTCTCTCTCCTCTCTGTCTCTCGTCTTTCCGTCTCTCTTCTCTCTCTTCTCTCGCAGGAGGATCCGGGCAAAGAGCCACATATAAAGGACTCTTCACCCCTGCCTCCAAAAAGAGCGCCATGTTTTTTCCTACCTCGCTGCCCTCCACTTTCCCATTCTGGAGCGCTAGCTTTCGCCCCCCCCTTGGCCTCAAGTTTGGAATACTGTAATACGGAATACTCCTCATTGGGCACCCGTGTCAGGCTGGTGCCCACCCACCTGCGCCAGCGGACAAATCACATGTCCCGAGGCGCAGCACTGCGGTTTCATTATACATGGCCATGGCACCATAAGTCTAAACAGCTCCAAACTCTGATAGGCTGATAGGTTTAACCAATCATGTTAAATCATGGTAAATCTATTCTGTTCATGTTTTTTGGAACATCTGGGTTCACCTGTTTCCCCCACAGCCATTCGTTTGGGTGTGAAAAACCACTCTGCAAAACCCTGGGTCTCGAGAGACCCTGGTTTTGCGGGTGTTCTTTTGGTTCACACGATTTGCACTCGGGCTCCTGGCCCACCTCCGTTTCGAAGATGGTTGGGGTGGGTGAGAAGATAGGGTCTAACCACCTTCCATTATCTTCGCATTTGCTCGTGAGCCTCGTATGAACCATGACGTTTTATTATGTGTTATTTGCCCAGACACTCCATGGGACTGCCATATATGCCTACATTGACCCCCAAAACGACCCCAATGTAGGCATATATGACATACATGGAGTGTTTGGGTTTGGTACAATACTTTGGAACGTTCACACCAAAATGTCCGTACCCGTTCGCAAGTTTGGACCATCGTATTCTATCCGCATGATCATGATCCAATTGGGCTTTAAAAGCACTTGTTTTTTGGCGACATAGCTCTGTCGACATGGCACTGTCGCCCCATCTAGCCGAAGATGGACCAGACGTTTGCAGTTTTGAACACCAAATGTGATCATGTTCTCGATTCTCAGACAGTACCCACAACTTGTGCCATCTCTCACGTGCGTTTACCTCTGATCTCTTCTAAAGATATTCTTGACGCATCCGTTTTGGGTAAAGTTGATGTTCAACTTATAGGTTCCAAGCACAGTTTGAGTCATATTGCGCAATTTTGTGTGTCATTGGATAGCATTCTTGATGAGATGCCATGAAGTTGCTTCTTTCGTCCCTGTGGTTTTAGTCCCCCTGGTCATTGTTTTCGGTGAGCTTCGTCAACTGTTATCAATTACGTCAGTCCTGGTTCAGTTCTTGCTGCTTATTGTCCAAGCCATTGTACCCGTTTCCACCGTGAATCAAGGGGTGGCAGGTTGAACAGACATTGAGTCACACGACATGGGGAACCATATTGTTACGTTCTGTTCTCCCGGTTCCTTAAGCTTGCAGTGTTCTTGTGGTTTTGGACGACCATGTCGTGCAGACAACTGAGAGACGAGAACACGAGAACAGCGAAGGAATCCCAGACGAGAAAGCGCCCGATCTATCCGATCTGTGTGTCGTTTCGTCGAAAAGCCAGAGGATCTGGAGAAATGATAGGAACGATTCTGCTCGCCGATCCATCCATCCATCTTTATATCTTGGACTCTTTGGATCACGTCAGTTCCAGTCTTTGGGCAACTGCCTTCTTCACCGGGGCCTGCGTCTCTCCCCAGTCCCGAGCCGGTGCGGCCAGGTGGAGAATTTCATGCCCAACGGCACCTCCACAGGCACGACACCACCGGGCACGGAGTTGATAGGGAGATCCTTGGGAGGGTCCGTTTGGTTGGAGAGGATTTTGTTGGGACGAGAAGACAGTCAGTGGATCCAATGAGAGAAGATCCATTGGGCGACCCTTTGGGCTGAATTTAAGTGATTGATCCAAGTAGAGAATCAGTGAGAATCAGAGAACAAGGTTTGTTCATGGTTCTTCTAAGTTTTTGCTTCCAGCATGGGGGCAAAGATGATGTGGCTCACCGATACACAGTCCTAGCTTTGTGTGTGTTTTTTCCCTAGTGTTTTGCCTGGGTGAGAGTGGTTATTGCCCTTGAAGAACATGTGATTACTACAAGGTAGTGAACAAACTTGCAATGTTGTTGTATTCCATCAGTGTGGTTGATCACACTTATTCCAAGTACTAGGGTGGTCTTCCGGTGGCCTGTAGGATGACCGTTAAGGGCCACACAGCAGAGTCCACAGCCCACTAGGACAACTATATAGTGTTCTTCTCGTATTGATCGCTATCAACCATCATCTCCCACTAGATTGGGATGCCCGGGACTCTTACACCACCCTTCTCTAGTTCAGACTCCAAACCCCACCCCAAACATCTCCAAATTCTCCAAATACCTCAATCCCTAAGCTTTCTCCAAATACCTCAATACCTCATTCTCCAACACCACCGTGGACACCACCCCTCTAGCTCCGTTCACATGAGCCGAGCCGCTGGTCGGTTGCTTCCAGGCTGGTCGGCTCCGCCCAAGTCCTGCGCCGCCAACTACGATGCCTGCGGCTGCGGCCGAGAGGTGCCACCCCGGAGAGCGGGCAGAGAACTTGAGGAGCTCCAAAAGCTGGGAGAGATGACATTGATCCCAAACACTCCATGGGACTGCCATATATGCCGCCCCATTGACCCCCAGTCAACCACCCCAACTGATCGGCATATATGACATACATGGAGTGTCTGGGATAGATTGTACATATAAATAGACACAAGTTCGAATTGAACACTGTAACGTAACAATGAACTCATCACATGGAAGTGGCAAGCGACCTCTTTGTAGAGCAAAGTTGCCTTTTGGAAAGGGCCGTTGCCGTTCAATCGCATTCTGGTAAGCCGTAAGTCATGAACCATGGTTGACTTCATTGTTTTTGCGAGAGTGGTCCATGCTGTGGAAGTGCTACCACTATGACTATGCATAGTAGATGCCTACATTGACCCCTTTTTCAACCACCCCAAGACACCCAATGTAGGTATATGACATTTCGTTCTTGGAGTGTTTGTGTTTGTGTTTGGTGCCATGTGCTGTTTCCTCGCATGGCAACGGTGTCTTAGAGCCTCCTACATGTGGCCTATTCAGGATGAAGCTTTGACCGATTTGGACCGCTATAGGGGTTCTCATGGTATTCGAAACGAGGGAACAGAATCTCGCGATGGTTTTCGGGACGCTTGCTCAGTTTGTATCATCTCTTACTTCTACGCCCCAAAATAGATGGACAAAACACATCCTAATCAACAGGTTGTGGATGGTTGTGGGTCAACAAAAGAAGAACAACATAGACATTTGTGTTGTTCTCCTCAATGGGGCGGAAGGAGGCGGAAGCGAGGAGGAAGTATTATTTTCGGAAAACTCAATACAATAGTATGCTTTGCATGCTTGATAACCCTCATTGTGACAAGATGCAGGTGTTAAACATGTTAGATAGATATGTGGCCCAATCCTGTTTGCCTCACTGGTTTAAAACCTCTTTAGTTTGGCGAAAGATTTGGAACAACTGGCTGCCTACGCGTTCCGATGTCAAAAGCACCTGCCTGCAGGTGTCCTGTTCAGGTGCAATCTGTAAACTTATACTTAACTACAATATAAGCAATGGACCTGTTACAAGGAGACTAGACACAAGTAGACCAATCTATAGTATCACCCTTTGAGAAGGAACAAAGGACACATGCAACTTGAAGAAGCTGTGATAGGTTGCGCGAACAACCAACCACCCGAAGAAGAAACATCAACTAACAAACTACCTAAGCCAGGCAAAGAACTGTGGCGGCTGGGTCGGCTGCGTCTTCAAGGACTGCACACACCGGGATGCCTCGTGTCGGTGTCGACAAACAGGACCCGTCTGCAGGAAATAGGACCCGTCCTACCCGTTGGGCGACGGGGGCTCCCTATTTAGATCATTGAAGGTAAAACACACACACATACATTAAAAATCACGAATATACACATCCAGATATACAAAGGATCAAGAATAGTGTATATATGTATATTTATGTTAATTCTCTGTTTTTCCAACATGACTTCATTTCAGCATTGTCGAACTTCTGGTGGTCTATACCTAGTATATGTCTATATGAAGTATTATAGTAATATAGGTGAGCTTCAGTATGGATGGAGAAGTTTGTATGTTCGGTACTGTGTGTGCTGCTTATCTTAAATTAGGTTCGAAAGACATGCAAAAGAACCCCTGAACAAATTTTCAGCAGGCGCTGCTCTTCGCCGACCGTTTTGACTATCGTGGACTCTTGTTACAATAATGATTGTTTGAGAGGAGATTCATCAACGAATGAGGCCACGGGTTGATTGAAACGGCCATAGTAACGAATAAGCTTGCTTCAGAATCCTGTAGAGGACAGGGATCTTCTCATACTATGGACAGGGTCCCTCTCCCCTGCAGATCCCTGAGGTGAGGCAACTGACTTAGATGTTCATGACATGTCCTTTACGAGTGCAACCGGTTGACTCCACAGACGCTTGTGGTGTGGTGTACATATAACATCATATGGGATCATATGGGTGTGTATTAATTAAAATAGGTACAGTAGACCTCCCCAGGATCCCCTATAGGAGAAAGTAGGCCAGAGCCATTGGTTGGAGTCTCCCTATTAAAATAAATACCCATATATATATATATAATATCCTACAATCCCTCCTTCTACCACCCACCGGTATCGACACGCACCGGTGGTCTATCTCATCAGGATGAGCTTTGCCCAGTGACCTGCAGCGACACCCAACACAAGTGTTGGCTGAATGACTTTGACACCAACGGCGAATGGATCAGCGCCTTGGATGTTTTACTTTTCTCGTATCCAAGGTATGGGTTTTGATTCCATTGGAAGGCCCAGAGATTACATGGTTACGTGCATGGCATGGCCCCGATGGATTCTTTGTTGTTTTCTCTACAAACACGTGGTGAACTCCACTTCCAGGTGATGTTTTCGTTTCGTGTATTCCAATTCTCGGTTTCTTGGAAAACGCCTTCAGGATCAGATGTAGAAAATGCTGACCCGAGATCTGACTCCCTCCCCAGCAGTTGCACTGCTTTGAGGGCGGAATTGTTTTGTTGCGAAGGCTTACCATTGGTCCCACTGATCCTGGTGGATAGAACCCCAGCCAAGCATTCGGATGTGGGCTGAGGAATTCCAATTGGATACAGTAGTATTCTGTACCTACAATGTCATTCGACTTGAAGATACTTGAAGTAACATGAGGTAAAGAGAAGACAAACGGAGAAGTCGGACTATATGGGAGATTACGTGTTGGGTGTTGTACTTGTCCTTCAAATGCCCATGGATCGATACCATGCTTCTTCAGAACAAGAACGATACCCATGACCGACCCTAACCACCAGGGTACCTCCAGGGTCGAGATCCTCCTTTTGTCGCACGCAAAAAGGGTTGTTTGATGCTTTGCAGAGCATCAGTCGGTAAGTTTAACGCTTCGAATCCCTTGGTCGGTCTGTTTCAACGGAGTCGCTGGCTGACGCGGCGCTTTTTGCGTTCTCTATTTTTCCTGATGTTGACACATCCATGGGACGGGCCGCACCCAAGGGTGGGTGTTCATCACGGCGGGCGGCTCTCCCCGCCACTTTTGCCGCTTTGAGGTTATCGCGAGGTTTGTATCCCACAGGAGGGAGTGAGTGCTTCGAGAGCCGAAGTGGCAGGAAATGGGGAATCTCGAAAGAAGGGTGATTTGCATTGATTTGCCAATTATTTTGGCACTGGTTTTCCCTGAATTCCCTTCTAGGACATAGATGTGGTATTATATTTCAATGTTTAATTATAATTTGTATTGGTTCCTTAAGCAAATCCAAGATCACGGGGTAGCCCCCAAAGTCACTAGTACATGGACACCGTGACGAGTCAACCTATGGACGTTCTTATTGCTACGCCAAGGGGGACAAGGCACTTCAGGGTCTATATTCTGACACACCACAAGAATCCCCGATTCTATCACTGAGATGGGGCCATCCTCAGCTTCAATTGAGATGTGATAATCGATGCTACTTGGAGTTCCAAAGGACCTTGTCCCAAGAAGACTCCTCAACCGGCCCGGCCCTAATAGCAACGGTGCTGGGTCGAATACCGCTGTGGTGCCGAATACCCGTGGGGTACCGAACATAGGAGACCTGGTCGGCCGCTATATATGACCCCCCTCTATATGCGCCACAGGGTCCATGTTCTACTCATCGCGGGTCTGAGGGAAACGCTTCTCCTTGAGACAGAGACCTGTTTGCCCGATGGCTCAACAGGTCCTTTTGACACTAGAGCCTGAAGACAGCGACCTTGACATACCTGCACTCAAGAAGACACGTCACTCTTGAGAACTGAAATCATTTTGCACGATCCTGGCTGGGGCAACAACTGTGGACTCAACCAAGCACAAATCGAAAGGTTGAAGAAAAGTAACATCGATGTCACACAGGTGGTGCTGCATTTCTATTGTGTCATGTGCAATTGCGGCAGGACCAGACTTGCCCTTGCGGCACGAACACCCTGCGCTGCCCTGGTGAAGATATTTGCTTGCCTGCGCTGCTCGGCTACTGAACTGCCCGGGCTCGTCGGGAAAAAACCCATCGTTGCAGTGGCTCCAAGCACAGCCGTGGTGGCGCCCGCGCGGGGGAACCGGCGAGGATGGCTGGGGGACGAACCGTGGGTTGAAGCCAATGAATTGGACTTGAAGTCGAGCAAGTCTAGCAGCCCAACATCTGAAACAAGTAGCCGCTACGCCGGCACAGCCCCCCGGAGACCACCGCCCCTGGAAGGCGTTAGGAGAACGAGACCACGACCGGATCCAGCGGGCCGGAGAACCGCCAGACAGTGAGGAGTGGCAACGGCAGGACTTGGCCGACTCTGAGTCGCCAAGATCAAGGAAGCCTAGAAACTCCATGGCTCCATGGCTCCGTGACCCTGGCCATGTCATGGGTTACGAAGGTCCGCACGTCCATGAACTATGAACGTCCATGGATCCATAAGGAACCATAAGGAACCATCATGAACCATCATGAACCCATGTTCTGGAGATTGCTTAGATGTCAAATTACATCACCTTGTAGTTTGATATCAGTGTCTTATTGGCGCTCTGAAAGACATCCTTTTTCCCATTGGTTCGACACTTTTTCCTTTGTAATGCCCAACACTAAGATCTCCTACATGTAGACTAGACTGGTCTATTTTCCTTCTCCACAGGGGGGCCTGGGAGGTGAGGTCTATACACCTTCCCATCCTCCATCCCCATCCCCCTTTACCGGTGCCGCTGCCGTTTCACCACTCGCGGCTGCTCACGAGGTCGCAAGCGTCGGTGGTTTGCCCATGCAAAGAGTCGCAGAAGCAATGCGACGTCATGGACTACACCAGCACAGGTAGGAACACGAAGGATGAGTAGGGAATGACAGATGAAGGTAGGGAGAAATGGACTCGGATCTGGGAGTAAGTTCAGGGACCTCGGGCCAGCAGAAGCAGTATTTGGGAGACAGGTTCTTTTTGATGCTTGAATCAGTCTGCATGCTGGATATCCAAGTTTTATGTTATTGTAGGCCTGCCAAGGAGGAACGACTGATTTGATAGGGCTGATCAGCCAGCCATTCGAAGGTCTACACTTGCATGCTCATACAGTCAGACTTACATGCACACACGCTACTACACACTATGTATGAGTGTGGGTCAAAGCATGTCAAAACCCTGGAACCCTGGTTGACCCCTGAAAATTCTGCAGATTCCTCTATAATATGTGTATATATATATATATGTTTTTCCGGGTGCCAACCCAAACCATGGTTTGTAGGGTGGGGTGCCATGACCCGCACTCAATCAGAGACTGCGCAGGCCGAAGGATCTCTCAAGCCAACTGATTGGAAATTGCTGGACAAAACAAACAGGGTTTAGTGTTGTTCTGCTTGAATCGATTGTAGAAGCTGTTTGAAGATAGTGACACCTGGATATTCCCAAGCCAGGGCCCTAGTTCAATTCTGGAATCACAAATAAATAGTTTGTTGATACTGTCCACCACCAAATTCCGCTTGTGCAGATATGGGCCCCCAGACTGGTTTCACGTATGACTCTTCCAATTTGCAAAACAGTCCATGTTCACTTCTTTTCATTCTAGATTTCCCACCACTCACAGCAGTTCTACAATTTTTATGCGGTTTGAAAGGGCAAAACCCAGCAACTTGCTCGGATGTGAGCACGTCTCTAGTCCTTGCCCCCTCTGTGTGGACTCGCGCAGGCACCTTGAGTGGCATGAACACCGTTTGTGTAGCCATGAACACCAAGTGCCCCTGCGGAAAGAACACGTGCCCTGGCGGAAGAACAGGAGCGGATCACATAGAAAACAAACCGGGACCCAGCATTTGTGACATGGGCTTAAGGTCGTAATTGTAGACTGTTCATGAATCAACCCTCCCCAGACATGGATGCGCTCACTTGCGGTCCTGGGACGCTTCTACATCACCCCTTACCGTGTCTTACAGCGGGTATGAGTAGAGTAGGTGAGAGTCTCGAGGAACTAGAGTACACGTAACAAACTGCACAGACGGGCAAACCAGCATGGCAGATGCATCCCCAGACATGGTTTGTAACACCTCTCCATGTCGAGGGGGTTGCAATATAATCAACTAGATATCAACAGAGTCTATATTGTAGCTGCCTGGTGCGCTGCAGTGCTCTCTGTGTCTCTCCGGACAAGTGGTGAAGGATTTGGTTGGTTGCACCGGTCGGTCGGTGTACGTACAAGGAAACTTGGGTGGGACAAGGTAACGAAGCATCCTGTTTCCAGCTGCCACCTGTGAGCTAAGGGATGTTCAATTTGATTCTAGCCATGCCCAAGTATATTACATATAGGCACATTTAAGATGACTTCTCACAAAAAAACAATTGGTTTTCTCCTAGAAAGCACCTGCGGTGGTGTTTCTTTTCGAAGAACCCAATTCTTGAATTCGGCCAATTGTGTGCCAACAACGCCATTCTTTGGGATCTATCACATCCAAGTCAGGTAAACCCATGGAACCGGCATCCGAGGCTCACGTGCTCCGATCCCAATGTCCCTTGGTGGGCTTGGGCCGGCCGAGCCGAGTCGCGGGGCGTGTGCGGGCCCGGGTTCAAGAGGTCAAGCAGCACGGAACGTGGATCAGGGAACCACGGCGGGGGGGAGGCTTTATGGTGTCATATATACTATATATATATCATTAAGTACGTACATGTGAATTGATTATACAATACTATGCATACAGGGGGAGGCTTTTGACAGCATAGCAAATGTATTTTATACTAGTTATATACTTGACTTTCTTATCCTTGAAGCCTTGAGATGCCTGCCAACCAAGAAATGATAAGGTGTGGTGTTCTTCCGGATGTTCTTGATACCTATCATGGACGAAAGGCACCGTGGGCACCGCCTGACAACCCAGAAAGCAGGTGCCAGATGTTGTGACGTTTGTAGACCTCATTTGCTAGGGCTACTTTGGCCGCTCGCACCGTGCCGCCGCCCACGCCTCAGGATGCAGAAGACAACCTTTGCGAACCCAAATATGCTGGTCTCTTGGCATGCACAACTGATGTGGGCCTCCCATGAGTTCTTGGGATCCCCACGCCTCGGATTCCTGACAGTGTCGCAAACCCCTTACACTGCGCGTTGGTGCCTTGCGAAGTGGTGCAATCTTAGACACACCAAAGTCTGCAGTCAATCTAAGATGGATGGTTTCCCCTGCCGTAACTCCTCAAAGAATGGCAGGCCTTGCCTCTTTCTTTTTAAAGGGATGGTTGTTTTTGGCACGGGGTGTGCTTGGGGAAGCTTTTTTCGTGCTTGCCTTCAAGGGTGATATTGGGAAATTCCCAATGTCAAAGAGTCAAATGTCACGTTCTCCGGGGCCCCATCCAATTGGTGTTCCATGGAACCAGCGGGGACTCTCCTTTCGTTCTGGAACCGGCGGGACCACGTCTTCGATGAGAAAAACGGATCTCTAGAGATCCGATCTGCCGATCCGCCTTGGAATCTTTCGGCCGATCTAGCAGACCGAGGAAGAGAATCGGAACCCAGTTTTCTGACTGACCTGGTGAACCATATGGTCTCATCAAGCGTGAAAGTCGAAAAAAGGTGAACCATTTGTCTGCAGATATGTTCCTGTCCGCCGTCCAGCTTGACACGGCAACCTGCCAGAAACTCCGTGGGTGGCGTAAAGAAACCGGTCATTTGCCCTCAGGCAGCGTACTGAACAAATGCCCCAAGCCATGCACCCCAGACGATGAAGCGCAAGGCAGGGGGCACTGCCCGAGTGTCGTCCGACAGGTGAAAACCAAGCAGGTGCAGCCACTCTGCTGGTGTTCATTCTGAAATGTTCTTCCAAAACGAAGATCATTTCTAAGAAAGTTCCATCATGTCTAAAACGTTGATTCTCTTCCAAAATGATGGAACTGTCCTTTGACATGAGGGGATTACCGTAAAAATCACTGAAAAACTCTTAGCAGAGCGGGGTGTCCTTGGCTGGCAGAAACAAAGTAAAGCAACACCCATGCAGTTCTACATATAGATGTCCCACAAGAGTCTGGGACTTCCGCGATACGTTTCCATGTTATTCAACTGTGATCAATTGAGTGTTTTGTTTAGAAGGGGAACAATTGTTGCAAACAGAGAAGATGGGGCAGTTGAGGCACACCACAAAAATGAATCACTGAACAAGCCTCTATGCACAAATCGAGTTTGTAAGGGCATGTACTAATTTGGCTCAACATGTGTTTTCTTTGAAACCCATGTAATTAGAATCAATTTGTGTCTCTTGCAGTGGTAATGCGATGCAAATGGCGCGTGTCCCGTATGTGAATGATGGGCCTTGGCAAGATTTTAACATTACCCTCTACCGCCGACCGCGCAAAAGTGCCGCAACTCAAAGTCCAGAGATTGCTCTGTGTTTTGAGGGGTCCCGATTGGTTTGAGACGGTTTAGCTCCTTTCGTAGCCACGTTTTTGGAAAGATCATGAAAGATCCCTTGTTCTTTGAGGTTCTTTCACGATCCAATACCGCCCAAAAGCGGTTTGTTTTGAAGACCGTCTGCTGCGGAGGCAACAAGACCTGCGTTCAGAGTCTTGGCAGAAGTGACACACGTGAGACAAAGAGCTCTTATAGTCAGAAGAGTTGGTGCTTGGGGTACCAGTGACATCCCATGAAGGCGATTTGGGTGCCTCCGGTGGTCACGACCCGATTCGCAGCGGCTGGCAACTCGTCCTTTGAACCTGGGCTTCTTGGGGGAAAACCAAGACTGCCGTTTAGTTGAGACACTCGGCCACGGTGGATCTTTCCGAGTCTTTCATTCCACCAGAGTAGAGGAACAGGATCCTTTGGTAAGATGATGTAAGATGCTCGTTTTGTTTTTCCATGAGTGGGAGGAGAGTACTTCTTCTTGCGTTTGCTTCCGCTTCGTCTTCTTCTTCCTCCTTTGCATGCACAGCCCGTCCGCGTCCGCCTTTGCCCCTCCCATTCCACCCGCACCCAACCCGGTTCCCGCCCAACCCGGGTCCCGCCCAGGACTCATCTCTCGAGCACTGGCGATTTCCTCTCAGAGACGATCAGCCACCGAGTGGCAGATGGCCGATCCAATGCCGGAGCCTGGTTGACCTTCAAAACCAGGTTCACCGGTCTAGGGCTAGTATGGGCTAGTAGTCGATTCTGTTCATGTTCAGGGTGATCCAGGGTTTGGACCCATCCTCAAACCCAGGGGCTCCATATGGCTCCATTGTAAAGGGGGCATCAGCCGGTGGGAACTCAAGGTGACTCAAGGAGACTGCTGGCACGGCACGGCGGTTAAATGAAGCTTAAGAAATGGATATGACCCTTGCATCTACCAAGTGCCAAAGTTGAGATCAAGAGGTGACCTTTAGAATGCATAGTCATCAGTTGGAAAATCCATCAGATCGTTTTCCATGCACAGTCATTCTCAAGTAGTAGATACCAAAAGCATCCAAAAGCCATTCGTATGGGTCACTTGTTGGTCCAAACGGTGAATCCGGGTCTTGTGACATGGTCGACTTTGTCTAACCAGTACTTTGTCGAGTTTGTCGGGTTCAACCTGAGATGTCAGTTTTCCAATCCACAGAAATCCCTCAAAAGGAGGTCCACAAAAATGTCAGCGTTCTCAGCTACCCGAGACGAATCTTTGGACCCTCTACAGCAGGCCCAGACACTCTATGGAAGATATGCCTCCGTTGGGGTGATTTCAGGGGCCAATGGGGCGGCATATATATTCCGTACAGAGAGTGTCTGGGTTGCACCCTGACCCTCCAAACCTGGCGCAGCCCGTCGTCGATGGACCTCAGACTCGGATTCGTCGAATTCCCTCCGGGACTCGGTCGGAGGGAATCTATCCATCCCAGGCTGCACCAAGGAATGCCCGCCAGGCAGGAACATGAAGAAGTGCTTGGGGGCCTAGCAACGTCCACATCAGCTTAGCTGATCAAACATCGAATTGTTTGCCACTGAGTTACTAGAAGTCCACCAAGAGTTTGGAATTTACAGTGAACACCAAGAGGTTGATATGTAGTGGGATGTTTTGGGCAGGAGTCGGGGGCATCCAACAGCCAAAATATTTCGTTTTCGGTTCCCAAAAGCAGCAGATCGGAATGGATCAGATGTCAGTTGAATTCTCTAGATACTTCACTTCTATTTACTATAACATGTTCTTAAAGCTGACATGAACTGACCATTTTCACTTCCTACGTGTTTGATTTTGCGCTCTGTATCGATGATTTCAATGACCACGCGCAGCATCGAGTTGGGTGAGGGTCATTGGAATTCCTCAAGCTTCACTGGTTTTGACACCAGTTGGGGTATTGTGTTTGCGGTGACTCCGGTCCTTTTTGGCACTGGTGTCTCAGGAATGTTTGGGGGACTTCTGAATATGTAGGGGTTATTTCCAGGGATGTCCTATGATTTCCTTATTTATGATCACAAGAGTGTCGAACTATATACTGTACATTCCGTGTGGCCATGAACCCAATTGGAAGGAAAGGGAGGACATGTGGAATATTACTTAGAGTTGTGCTGATCATCCGGTTGGCCAATGCTTCCAGACCTGATCAAACACCTCCAGAGAAAAGATTAGAGATTCAAGGTGTTGCAGCATAGGCCATTTATTTTGGACACGTTTGGACATCCATTCATTCACCTTTGATGCGAAACAACCTGATTCGAACACGACCCTGATGACAGATCTGGATCAATCTTCCTTTACACCAGAAAGTGTCCGCCGGCAGTTGTTTTAATTTTGGTTTGTAGCGGAAAACAAAACAAGGTAATGCAAACCTCCGATTAATAACCCCCCCCCCCACATGGTAGGTCAACAAGGTCAAGAAGGTCTGAGATACCACTCATTAGGTCCACCTCCCCTGAATTATCGGCTCAGGGAGCCATCGTAGTCGCAGTCGTCGTCGGTAGTAGGTAGTAGGTAGTAGTAGTCACAACAAGTTTAAACAAGCACAAAGAAAAGGCCAGGGACACAGGATCAAATTAATAGGGGGTAGTAGTGCAGATTATTGATAGGGGACCGGCCCTTGTGAGGGGTACCCTTTGTGAGCTTGTCAAATGATTGTTTTTAATTGTTTTTTTTAATAAGGCAATTTATAGGCCCTGAGCCCTAGACATTTTTAAGGATTTCATCAAACATGTAGTAGGTAGTAGGTGGTGATGGTGGTGGTGGTGGTCGTGGTAGTAGCACGTAGCAGCAGCAGCAGCAGCAGTAGCAGTAGCAGTAGCAGGAGTAGCAGTAGCAGTAGCAGTAGCAGCAGCAGCAGCAGGAGCAGTAGCAGTAGCAGTAGCAGTAGCAGTAGGAGTAGTAGTAGTAGTAGCAGTAGTAGTAGTAGTAATACGAGAAATTGACCTGGTTGTGGGCTCGGATTAACTGGGGGGGGTTTCTGATGCCCAACTAGAAAATTAGGGAGGGAAATAGGCACGAATAATACTTTTAATTTGGGCAATTTCTGGTGGGTTTGTGTCTTCGGATTAACTAGGGGAGGTTTATTAATCGTAACTTTGCATTAACACAGATCAAGAGGTGGAGCTAGAACGGAAGTTGATGGTACATGCGAGCGAACGGTGAACAAATACAAATATCTCTAGGGTTCCCAGTTCTTTGACCAGCGATGGATGAAAGGCCTAGACCCCTGGATACATCCCCAACGCTCCAAACAGGCCGCATATTTACCGACCAGTTGGGGTGTTTGAACGTGTACAATATATATTGTTATATAATCCTATCGCAATGGGTTGTATGGGTTATGTGGGATGTTCATGTAAACCTAGCAAGGGCTACATTGGACGCTCCTTTGATCCCTTTAAAGGGAACTGGAGCTTGGACGCCCCGAAACCGGGCTCCGTTCATGTAAACCCCCGGTTTCTGTGCTGTTGATGGACAGCCACCCCCCCCCCCCGTTTGTTTCTTCCCTATACTGCTACTGTACTATGACAAGACATGCAAACAGTGCCACGTGCAACAACAAACAAACACGTTGGAACTTCTGGCGGTCCTTTTTGCCGAAGAAAAATATGTTGGAACTGTTCGTTGGAGCGTTCGCTTCGGTCAATGGGTCTTCCATGGTCGGAACCAGCATCTCATCGAGAGGGACCGGGCATAGCATACACGTTTGAAAGGTATGGCACGGCCGCGACAGGAAGACCATGAAATCCAAAGACGAAACAGGTGGTGAACTCATGTGAACTCCACGTCACCATGGAGACGTTCAGGGAGTGTAGCAGAAGTCTGAAGTGTAGCACAAGTCTGAAGGCTTTGAGCCACGTCTGTTCCGATTCCGGCCCTTCCATCCAAAGGTGCCTCCGGTGCAGTGGTGCCGGCGTGGAAACAATGCCAGGTACTGTGCGACAAGTGGGTTTTTGAAGGCTAAACGGAGGGTGTGTGGAGAAAGGGGGTCAGCAAAATCGCTTATACGAAGTTAGTGCATCAAAAATACCTTCCACGAAGTTCTGCGAAGGTTTCTGGGATTTCGTTGCAGTCAGTTCTCCTACTGGCCCACCATTCCACGAACTGAGCACGAACAGCCTTGGGTTCTACGAAGGTCACGCGCCTTCCACGACGTTAGTAGAATAGGTTTTTGCAAAACCCTTTCTGTGCACTACCCTTCCGTTTGCCTTTGAGTTTTGACTGACCATTGATATCTATACTGTACATATAATACATCATTTTATCAAGTTATGTATGGTCTTATATGATGCACATGTATATAAATTGCATATGCGAGTTTTGGATAGCTTTGCCAATTCTTTTCTGCCACGGTTGTCACAATGTGTGGGCCACTTGATTAAGATGCATACGTTCCATTTTTCATGTTTGTAGCGGTAACTGTAGTGACTGTAGTGATCAGGGTTCCAAAGAGATGCAAGAGTACCTTCAGTGATTTGGGTGACATTTCAGTAGCATCGTGGGCTAAACGTGACCCCACTTGTGGGGGGAAGAACAAACATATGTCCAAGATCTACTAGGTTCCTCCAGGTGTCTTCTTTCCGGAGTGTAAAGATGACCTCTCTGGTAACTCACTGGTAATTAAGGAAAGAAAGTTCACAGGTCCAAGATCTACCAAGTTCTTTCAGGTGTCTTCTTTCAGGAGTGGCAAGGTATACTGCCAATAGGAATACCTCTATTATGATGGCACCTGAAAACCCATCGAACAGGACGCAGAATGACCCACCAACCCTGTGAAGTTTCAACGTTCTTTTCCAGAAAATATATTGCCTGAGCCACCTGCCGTCACCAGCCGCCAGCCCTTTTCTGAGTCTTGGGACCACTCGTGTACACCGCCCACCAACTGTTTCTTGTCGTCAGGACTTCTACAAGCAGAGTGGCAACGCCACGGAAGTGGTGTCCGCCGGTGAGAAGCAGACATCCAAAGTGACGCCCAGCCGGCAGCGCGACGCGCGCGACGCGCGACGCGCGTGGCAAGAAGGCGGTGACGCGCGCGCGAGGCAAGCTCCTTGGGGCCGTCGGGTTCACAGTCGTAACCGTCGATCTCCCAACAGACGCGGATCGGGTTCACGGCCAGGGCGGTGGATGGCGCTGGATGGCGATTGGGTGTTGGTCGGGTTTCGCTCTTGATTTCTCAAACATGTCACTGCTGGTCCACTGCTGATTTCAAACGATGATGACCCACAAAACGTGAGCGGCTCATTACCTCAACCACACACTGACTTGAAATCGGAGGACATGTAGTCATTTGTGAAAAGGGTCTTCATCCACCATTGGATGCTTAGACTCCTTAGACTGTGGACCGTAGTCAATGGTTGCATATATCATCATAGATCAATATACTATATATTCACTAGTCACTAGTCCCATGGACGAGTGGTTGGGTATATGGTACCTGTCATCAACCCATGTAATCTTTCCAAGTCTAGACATCGTTTCGACCCACCCTGCGATGATATGCCGAGGATTCTGACTCTTGACTCGTCCATGCCTGAGTGGGAATGGCGGTGATGTTGAGTTTTCCCAGCAAATTGGTGTGCAACTGGAGATGTTCCAACATACAAGCACAAGGGGAAAAATAGTCTTGCCGGGTTTTGAGAGTTGAATACATGACACCAAACGATACCATCTATAGTACATATTGCGTTCCATGTTAAGCTTTGCAGAAGTGCCCCTTTGAAGGTTTGCATGAGCAAACACTTTTGCTATGCACCCTAGTGGACTAGTGGATCCTGTTCATGCACGGCTGAACCTCCTCCCCAACACTGGGCCATTCCGGTCATTTGCGCTGACCTGGGCTGACGCAGGGCTCACGTGCCAGGGCTTCAGCCAAAGCCCGTTAGCAACCCATGTCATGCATGTTCTTTGTAATATTATGATACTTTGAGGATCTTTCATGATTGTTCATGATATTTGCAAATGACACTGTGACCTGGGACGCGATATATATATATAATGATATTACTTGATGATATACTGTTGGCCGCCAAAGCATACTGAAGTTTCTAGACCCAAGAGGGACAACTCCGCGGATCCGCCGCTGAACCAGCAGATGAAGCAGTAACACTCCCTTTGCATCCTGTTACAGTCGATGAAATGCTGAAAAGCATTGAAGAACTCATGCATCCCAGTTTGGTTGTTTGGTGCATGATGCCGAAAAACCACTGCGTCACTCACTTGGAGACTCTCAGGAAAAAAACAAAAACATGAAAAAACACATATACATTGGTTTCAGAGTAGGCACAATCCACAAAAGGTGGTTCATATGGACCCCTATATGAAAGGTATCTTGGGGGTTGCGCCACTTCTTCTGAAACCGCTGTAAGAAACATCATGGAGGGGGGAGATCATCGTGACTCGCGACTCTTCGGACTCATCGAACAATCATTCCATCAGTGCGTCAAAAAGACTGCTTGCAGACGTCCTTTCTCATCAGCCACTTGGAAGCACCACCCGAATCCCTAAGAATTCATTAAGCTTCTGAGTAGATCCCAGTGGCTGTAATATCGAGAACTAGCCCAGATACCTCATATTTGGCATGTTTATTTACTGTACCTATATAGCCTAATAATGGTTGAAAAGGGCATCCTTTCCACCCCCGAGTGTCAGACGGGCCAACAGGCCAAACCGTTTCCATTTTCCCCTCTCACCCCGGACTGGACCGCGGTCTCCCGACGCTCGCTCCAACCGGACCGCGGTCGCGTGGGGGGCGTCGGTCTGCCGGAGCGCCAGGGTGTCCTCAACGGCACTGAGCAACTCCGAGGAGCCGAGTCGTCGGTCCCGGTCCGTGAACCGTCCAGACCCGTCCAGCCGACATAGAGACCTCCGGCATGCCATGACCCAGCAGCCAATTCGGCGCAGTGTCGGTTTTTTTGGTTGTTGTGTGTTTTGTTTGTTTTATATAGTTGTCTTTTGTTCGTCGACTGACGTGTTTTTGTTGATAGAAAGTGTGTAAAACATTTAGGGTGTGACCCTGGACCATGTTCTGGCTCTAGCGATTATTTAGTTCTTCTTTTGAAAGCAACTCAGTTTAGCAGTTCACCATCAACATCCACAGACAATAAGTTGCTCATGGCTCAAACACATAATATGCATGACTTCATTGTTGTTCTTCCTGAAGACTGCTGTGTGTGTCCCAGGGGCCAAAACATGCCAACAAAACACTGAAAAGATCTTGAGTGCGATTCCACGCACGGAGTCATTTGCCAGTGGGTTTTGATTTGGATATTCGGGCAAAGCGGTGTGGTTCAAATTGGACACCAAGCCCACATGTAATAGCAATTATTTGTTGGGTGGATTTCATTGATGACCCTGGACTTGAGCAGTTGGGTGTGTATTACTTCCCTTCCAACAATCATCGAAGTGGACGTGAACGTTCTGAACGAGGCCCCAAAAGGAAGACCTTGTTCCTCGACCAAGAGGGGGTTGTCCACTTCCATGTAGGGATGGTGGAATAGGGCGACCCCCAAACACCCCTTGGGCAGGACAGAGACGACGATTCCATGCACATCCATGGACACTGAAAACCCACTGTGTTGGTAGAGGGGGCCAGGACGTCAGGGTCTATGTGAGTTGACTCGGGAGTGTAATCCTGGAGACTTGGAGAATGAGGATCTTGTTTGGTCCGGTTGGATTCACGGGAAAAAAACACGCAGACTGCTTGGCTTTAACGTCAACTAACTGTTCTGACACAATGACGGCAACAGGTGCAAGTGTCCAATAAATTATAACAGACGTTAAACGCATGATTGGACTATGGTGGAGAGATATAATGGTGTATTTTTTTTCAGAGTCCTACGGCCCGAGGGTTTGACCAGAGACAGATGATGTGAGACCGAGTCACCTGGGAAGTGTTGTGAACAACTCTTTTTGCCGAAGCAAAAGTTGTGGGCCCCAAATAGATAGTGTTAAGAAAACGCGGACCCAGACAGCAAGGGGTCAAGATGAAAAAAATAGAAAACAACAACCTACTCAAAAAAACTCAGACCAGAAACTCAGATTCCAAAGCCACCCAATTGAGAGACTCAAATTGGACTCAGATTGGACTCAAATTGTACTCAAACATGGTTTTTGAGTTGTTCTTGAGTTTTTTTTTGAGTTGATTTTGAGTTTGTTTTTGAGTTGATTTTGAGTTTGTTTTGAGTTTTGTTGTTGAGTCTGTTTTGGATTTGGGTTCTTGAGTTGATTATTTTTTGATTATTTTGTGTTTTTTTAATTTTTCAATGATTTCAGCCCTGTCTGGTCACTGGGGGGTCTCAAAGATAGTGGCACGGTTTCCAATATATTCTTAGCGTCGATTTGGGGGTCCATATATATATATATATATCCCTCATATATGTACTTAGCCAATCTTAGCCACAAGTTCTTTTTTGTGACTGTAACCTCGATGCACATTAGGAATAGTTTTCCGGAGCATACTCGTCGAAGAGGTGGGACATCACTACGCCCCACCCATTTCACTGCCAAACATCACTGGTGTGCGGCAAACATGATACTCAGTACTCCTTTGTTTTTGGCCTTGGGCAAGTCGTGGCAGAGGGACAAGGGGGAAAAATAGTTACTCTTTGAGTCATGAACATGGATGTGAAAACCACCTGTTTGTAGAGAAAATGGGTCTTCCAGGGACCTACGTTCCACTTCCATGTTTTTTTTTCAGGGAGTGTATAGTGTATAGGGAAACTGACGACCACCAACTCACCTTGCAACCCTAAGAATCCCTGGGCCCTCCACGGCCCCTCCCATATCAGGGGTCCAGACCCTCAAAACCCTACGCATGAGTTCGGCCCGCATTCTTGGGGAACGTTCTGTGGGATTTCTGCACATTTTCACCGATCCGCAGAATGTGCGTGTGATGGTGAACGCCGAACTCTACCTGCCTCAGTCGTGCCTTGGGCCAAACGAGAGTGCAGCTACTGTTTGATATCTTTTTGTAGATGTTTGATGCCTCAAAGTTTTTGGAAGGTTGAAATTGAAGGCAAAGGGTGGTAAGCAAGGCTTATCCCCATTAAAAGATATAAAACTCTTTTTCACCACTGGTTGCTTTAAGAGATCCCCTGGCCTTACAGCAAAAGCTAGACAAGACCCGCGGCCGCAACCACCCCAAAGATCAGGTTAGACAATTTGGAAGCAATATGAAGGAATTAGATGAAACATTCTTAAACATGTTCTTTTCAGATAAATGTATGTGCTCTCTTTCTAGACTCACATGAGATGCCTTTCTCATCCTTTCTGGTCACTCCCAAACCCATCCCATACAGCCAGTTTCCACATCTGAATATAAAAAAAGCACCTCACACCTCAGACCTCAGACCTCTTCACACCTCAGACCGCCTCAGACCTCAGACCCGAGGATCTCCTCTTCCATCACGGTGAAACAGTCGGGCACTGCCCGACGCCTCACCCAGCACATGGGACGCATGGGTCGCTACCTGGCCGCGGCACGGCGAATGAACACCGGAGGAGCCGTGGAGTCTGGACGCTCAGGGGATGGGAGAGCTGCAGAGGTGACAGGAGACGGTCTAAACTGAGTGAGATGAGCTTGGCAGCCTTTGGCCTTAGGTTGGTTCTGTTCTTTTTTAACACTCTCCGGTCTAAAACTGATGGGAGAGAGTTCTACATGGACCCTCGAAACCACTCGATTTGAACTGCAAACAATGGGTATGGAGTGTCAGGGGTATTTGAAATACTTAAACACAGTCAGTAGAACGAGTAGAAAGTAGCTGTAGTCGGAAACGCTCCTCAAAAACCGTCTATAGATGTTTGTAGTGAGTGTTTGGAATGGAAAAGCACCCCCTATATTATGGAGAGTTTCCTCCGGTGTGAAACTAGATGGCGCAAGGCGAATGATAGTTCTTGACAGGGGAGCGCAATTACACATGACAGCTGCTTGGCCTTTGGCAAAGAACAAGTCAACCGATCATCTATAACTCCTTCTTTTCGCCCCAACTTTGCTGATTCGCAACAATACACACCTGGAACACCAACACATTCCAGCATGTTGTTCCATGATTTATGAGCGTTCCACCTTCCACACACATTCCCTTTTGATCCGCTCATTCAAACATGCTGGAACTTTCCGTGTTGTCCGCAGCGCTCTGAAGAGCGCAGAGACGGGACCCGCGATGCCTCGACCAGGTTGGGCTTTGAAACCAACGGAGCCTCCGCGCCGGTCGCGCGCGCGGACGCGAACGGGCCGCACACGTGGCATGTGGAGTGGAAGTTGAATCCCGAAGCCCAAAGCAAGCAGTAGCCAAAGCAATTCGGTGCATGGTTGGCTGCAGATCGAAGATTGCGGAGGTGCATTTGCTGGACATTTACCGCGTGGTGACCCAAACATATTGACTTCTGCAGGAATTCTTTACCAAACAACCATACCATACATCTCATGCATCAAAGATGCCTCAAGTCTCAGAAAGAGAAGGATGACCCAGCAGCATTTCATCCATTTAAGTCTAATTACACTACTATTTGCTTTTGCAAAAAAGAACATGAAGCTCGCTAAGCTCTCTTTCTTCCAGTCGTTGTGTTTTTTGCGACGACCCATTCCTCTGGCTCCCATAGCATCAACCCCTTTGATGGCCACCCTCCTCCTCCCCTCCTCTCCCCATCAGGAGCCTCATCGGTGGGGTCGGACCAAGTGGCGCAGCAAGCGAAGAAGATGGTCGGCGGAGACGGGAACTGAGGGGGGAGACGGGGTCTGAAGTCAAGGACCTTATTTTAGCGGGTTTGGAAATCGTGTGGTCTGAGCGTCGTGTGCAAGGTGGTTCCGCTGATGGGGTTCCTTGTGACTAGGTTCCAGATGGTCCCTTTTTGTTGAAGCATGCTGAACTAGAGAGGTTCTCCTTCAAAAGAGAGCAATGCTAAGCTTTTTCTTCAGTCTTTTGGGAAAGCAAATTGTGAGGCTCTCCCATCTCTGGTCACGTGTGTTCATCTACTAAAAGACCTTGTAGAAGACCCAGAGGTAGTAGATCCAAGTTCTATGAGCCATTGTAGTGGCATGTAGTGGCAGGAGACCCAGGTAACGAGCCATGGTACTTGTAGTCTCTACAGTCTTTGTTCATCACTCCGAACTGTGACTAGGGGTTTTCTTTCATCAGTCCCCACATGGGGCCAGGTCACCCGCCAGAGCCCGGGCATGAAATCCGCCTTGGACAACTTGGGCAGCGTGAACGTCAAGGTGTGTGAGCCCACAGAGCGGAGCAGATAATTTTGAGATTTGTTAATGTAATATATAATATACTATATATATATAACTATATATTATTTATACATATGTATATATATATATATCAATTATATGTAAACACATGTATATTGTATATGTATATATACACTACATATGTAAATATACATACATTATATATATATATATCATGAAGCAAAAAATAACATTTGTATGTATATATATATATTTGTTGGACTACAGGGACCAATCAGGGATGCCATGAGTTTCAGGATGTGATATTCGGGTACCTTTTGAATCTTGTGCTATTCATTGGGGACTTGGGGACCATGATCGAGAGGATGTTTTTGAATTGTCAGGGCTTTTGAGACTTGGCTTGACGAATACAATGTTTGTTGTGTTCACCGGGACTGACTGTACATATATGTTTTGTTCTTTGGCTAGAGAACCGGGGTGTGCACGCAACATGCAGCACTCGAGGCAGAACTTCCAGTCTGAAGCTTGGAGGGTGCAGTGCTTCACTGGTTCGTAGATGGCATGTTCGCTGCGCAGCTCAGCTTATGAACCCATGAATCCCGTGGACATAACTATAAAGGTATAATAGTTTGGGAAAACTGTCTCATAGGTGCTGTTGTTTTTCATACATATGATCTATATTCTCTTTTGTCCTATGTTCTTCCTTTCCGCTTTTTTGCTCCCTGAAAGAAGACACAGGCGTCGGCCCCCAACAAATCCTTCCCTCTCCGTGTCCCAACCTCGCCTCCACGCGCCCACAGCTACGTCGACGGTCCGGCCTGTCAGGCCGGCGTGGCCACGGCGACGACCACCAGCAAGGTCAAAACGCGATCGCAAGCGGTGCAGGAGAAGAACCTGGCGCCGACCTGAGACTGACCTTGAGAGGAAGATGACGAGAGGTCAGAGGAAGAGGTCGAAGTGTTTTTTTTCAGGTCACGCAATGTGAGAAATACAAAAAGATCCGGAAGTTCAGATCAGTGAAACATTGGTTGGCCAGGTAAAACATTGGTTGGATTTGTGTGTTTTTTTCTGGTCGCCGGCCAGTTTCGTCGTCGCGTGTGTTTCTGTTCTTACCGCACCGTGGGTCGGGGTGGCCATTCTTGGCGTGGAAAGGGCGGGTTCGGTTCTGGGGTCGATCTCGAGACGAGGGCAGAGTGAAAAAAGGGGAAGAGGATGGAATTGAACATCACAGATGTTTGGCAACATGACATCGGACATGTTGACCGATGTGGACCACTCATCGGACATCACCAACATGGATGGAAGAGGCTCTGGTGTCGTTCCATCAATGACATCGGCCGGACTGGTTGGGTTGGAGCTCCGACCTGGGAAGATGATGGAAGATGATGGAAGATGTGTGGCCTGGTCGAAACGGTGTGGCCTGGTCGAAACTCATGAACCTCATGACAGCTTCATGTATAGAAGTCTTAGAGAAGTCTTTGGATCCGATGTGTTTCTGCTTTTTTGATACTTTTGGCGTGAATCATCCAAATCATCCACTGGCTTTTGACGTGTTTTGATGCACTGTAAATACAGTGTAAAGTTTCCCATCAAATCAATTGCAGGCCTCGGACAACGGTCCCAACCCCTAAAATTACCCCCCGCCTGTTCCTCCGATTCCTCCGCCGCAAGCCCTCATTTCCCACCTGCACCCGTCTGCACCGTTCTCGTCAGAGGCCATCTTGGCACCTGGGCGGAGTTGGACCGGCGGGAGTTGGACGGGCGGACGGGCACATTCCGGGTACCGTTGATCTCTGTGGGTCATTTCATGTGCTGGTCAATTGTTGTTGTTGGTGGTGGTGGTGGTGGGTGGTGGTGCTGGTGCTGGTGCTGGTGCTGGCGGTGGTGGGGTGGTGGTGGTGGTTTGATGTGTTTTGTTTGTTTGGTTGTGTATAACGTTTCTTTGGATCCTATGAACACCATCCATACATTACATTTAATGTATAAATATATAAATACGAATATAAATATAATAAGTGTAGCATATGATTAGTACTTTGTGTTTGTTGATTCCCTAGCAGCATGCGTATGTAGATGGACATGACATGAACATTTGCGTTTGGTGGACAAAGACTTTGCTGGTGCCAGTAAGAGAAGCTCGACTTTCCATTCGGCATAGCGACATGTAGGGAGCCACAGGGGGTGTCAAAAGATGTGTGATGTGGATTAAAATGGCTAAACATGCTTGGACAACTCCATACTTTGGGGCTTTTATGAAGATTCATTTTAGGGTGTGATGATATAAAACATGTTCAGTGCTACTTGGTTCCGTTCGTTGAAGTTTCCCTTAGGCTGCAGACTTGAACAATTTTATGCAATTGAGATGGCTAACCCAGAGGAGCCAAGATCGTATGTGAAGTGTTTTCAGCCTCAAATTGAATGTTCCTGCAACTTGTGCAGTTCTACGAGCATTTGTCATGTTTGTGCAGTTCTGTAGCAGTTTTGCGTGACACTTTCTTCTCGAGCATGTCCTCGCATAGGCTGTAGACCTGTCAGGACCCGTCTTCTATAATGATTGCTTTAAAATGGTTTAGTAGTGTTTTATTTGAGGTTTGAGGTTCGTAACTGATCTTGGATATCTCATGATATCTCACCTCGATATGGTAGCTCGGATTCCAATCAATACATCAATATCAAGTTTGGTTCAAACATCAGGCAAATCGGCAAGATGAGAGCGTGGTTCCTCCTGACCTGGGTGATCTTCCTTTTGGGAATACACAACTTGTTAAAACCCGTTCCAATGTGCCAGACATGAATATGTATAGGGTTTGTCCTATTACCTGTAACAGTCAGTAAACAATTATCATCAGTTTTTGAACCAGGCCTTTACTAACCATCATCATCCACTGTTACAGGTAATAGGATAGACCCCACATATGCATGACAGATTATAAACTTGTGCCAGGCCGCCAGACTGCGGCTTTTGTGACCCTGTCCGTGGTCCCCAAGATGAGACTTTGGGTTCCCCAAAATAAGACGTTCCAACCCAGACACTCCATGTATGCCATATATGCCTACATTGGGGTGGTTTTGGGGGTCATGGCATACATGGAGTGTTTGGGCAAATCAAACATCATGGTTCATACGAGGCTCACGAGCAAATGCGAAGATGATGGAAGGATGCGTATATAACCAAGACGACGTATATATGCGAATCCTTGGGCCCAGCATGTCACACGCAGTGGTTGGACCCTACACCTTTGCACGGATCCAGACCCGAGACTAACCCTTCCTGTTTGATGCTTAGGTCTAAGATCCTTGTCAAACCCGTACCCAGATGCTCCATGTTTGCCATATTCCTACATTGGGGCAGTTTCAGGGGTGAATGTAGGCATATTAATATACCACATATATATATATATATACCATACCTATATATCCATACCTGGAATGTTTGTTTGGAATGTCTGGGTAATGGCCTCCTAGGGCGTCACCACGACCACCACGACAACGACCACTACGACGACCACCACGACCACGACGACGACGACGATGGCGAACACCACACAGGCCGAGCGAGTGACGAATGTCGCCGACGATATAGGTTGGGTCTGTCCGCACATACCTGTAACAGTCGGGATAAACAAGCAAATCACCCAGCAGTCACCAAGGGGTGCTTAATGGAGGTTAAGGGTGCCCATTGTCCACTCACTTAGGGACTAAACTCCACCCCTTTGTGACTCCTGGACTATTGTTTAGAACAAGGCCTGCAACCAGGCCCCATCATCATCCACTGTTACAGATATTAGGATAGACCCAAGAGATCGGTGCATACCGCATGATACCACTTCCATATAATTCCCTAGGGCTCCTGGCCCACCTCCGTTTCGAAGGACTGGGGTGGGTGCCAGAGGGGTCGAACTACCTTCTGAGGATGTGTTTGGAGGGTCTAGGGATTATTGGTTACTGAGACGATGAGTCGTGTCACTGAGACGATGAGTCATGCCAAGCAGAAGCCATCTCCTAAGTCACACAGACGATGGGTCAGGTCCTAGAGCTCGCTGGCTGTAATCGAGCACTGTCCTCGGAGGCGATGTACTGCAAGTACTTTGCAGTCAGGAAACCAACAATTGACAACAATTTAGGGCTCCAAGTACCTTCTAAGAAGGTGTTTTGGGGTGGGTAGTGGGGTGGGTCCAGTCATACCTTCTGAGAAGGTACGACTGGATCCCTAGGGCAATTGACAACATGACCAACTGCAGGGCGGCCACAGGGTGAGATGATGCATTTCCGGGCCATCGAAGCCGGGAAAGCGGAAAGCGCCCGTAATGATACCGCTTGAAACGGTGGAAAGGGTCAGAGCATGAATATGATCATATGTTTATTTTAAGTTTGTTTAAGATAAACATCTACAGGAAACCTTGTTTCCACCTTCAAGACTACTGACTACGGCTTTCTTAAACCAATTCTGGTTTCCGTCTCAGCTCGGTTTGTCTCCTGTGCCTTGGGAGGATGCCATGTCATGTGTTCGTCTCAAAGGCCCGGAGTAGCCACAAGCGAGCATGTCATGTGACGGACAGCCGAAGCATTTCGAAGCTCAAGAAGCATCCGAGGTTTTTTTGAGGTGTTTTGAATGAACCTCAAAGAAGACCCAAATCCCCTACCAGGCTACTACTACCAGCAGGTTGAGGCTACCAGGTCTCCTCTCCTCGTGCAGTCCAGGTGAGCTTTTGGAGATGAATAACAGTTGGCAGGTGGTGACCTCTTAAAATTGAATCTTAATCAACAGAACCTCAGCTTGGCTGGACACCGCCGCATCCGGACATATCCGGACGCTCCATGGAACATAGTTGGTCGATCAATTGGAATGGTTGAACTGGTGGAGCTCATGGGACAACCGAACATTAATACATAGTCCCAGACAGGTCGTGTCGTGTCGTGTTTGGGTATTTGTCACCTCAGCTGATCCAGAATCACCTCAGCTTTATATAGCGTGGGTCAAAACCGGAACAGCCTGGTTGACTACCGAGAAAGAGCAGAATAGAGGTCAACCTCCCCTGGTGAAAGGGGTTCTGCCATGACCCACAGTCGTACCTCAGCATACCTCAGCACCAACAGCCAGTCCACGCATCCAACATCATCCAAACGAAAAACGGCCAGGCTCCCGGAACTACGCTGAAAGACGGCATGAGCAGTGCGGGTGGCATGAGGCTCGTGGACGCGTGGGACATCGATGGAAAGTATGGCCTGACACGTGTGGACGCGGAGACACCGGTGATGGATGGAATGGAACCTCTACCCGGCGAGAGGGGCCCTCTTCATCCCCAAGGTCCTCTCAGACGTTGACACCCGGCACCCATTTTAGACTTTTTTCAGGTCTCTTGTGAATGTGTTTGACAAAGATGTGCTTGGTCTGACCGTTGGGCTCGTTTCCATGGTGTCCGTTCAAAGAGCTCGGAACCGGCGGTCTTTTTCTGTGGACCAGCACTCCCAAGTCGGAGTGTTTCTTTGGATCAACTTCAGGTCACTGATAGGGATCATAGTGGGAACCTTCCAAGAACTGTGACTAGCCATGACTAGCTTAACCAAAAATCATGAACCATGGATCTCTCCCAGGGCCGCCATGGGGCGGTGATTGACAAGAATGGACACCCCGAATCACCATCTCTTCTGGGTGATGATGATTCGACACAGCGAGTCACTCGGGCCGCAGACGATGGATCCGCCTCAAATCGAAGGTGATGTCTTCCACGCTATAAGAAGCAGGTGACAGGAGGATCCGTGTGTCCCTTGTGAGAAGCTACTTGGATCCCTAGGGGATCCTGAAAGACTTATATATAGCTCTATAGAAAACCAAATCAGGGCTTTGGGGCTTTGACGCCTTGGGGGGCACATCTATGATTCCGATCCGATGTGCTTTTTTCTACCGCGGGGGAGTGGCCCTAGGCCCGTAGGCATATAGGTGTGAAAGACAACAAAGCCAAAGCTTGTGGCCATACCCCTACTAGAGCATAGTGATTCTGGTGGCAGGTACTCACATACCTACCAGAACCTCCTCCAGGCTTACCACTGGACCTCTTCCAGGCAAAAACATGAGGCTTCCTGTTTGGTCCATCAGTCCGCCATTGGTCCTTCGCCATGTTCGCCCGCTTGGGGTCGAACTGACCCCACACTGGCAGGCTTTCTGCCTGGATCTTCACTGCCACTTTGCTGGTCCTGCACCCGGTGTCTCGGCCGTGACCGGTCCGGCAGGTGAAACACCCGCAATGGTCCACTGCGCTGGGAACGGGGCGGCAGGAGGCGGCAGGGGCTGGGATGAAGCCCTCTTAACGTAATGCTTCTTGTTCCGCGTCATCTTGCTCCGTTCGTAGCTACGGCCTAGGAGCCCCGAACGTAGCGTCCTTGCTCCAAGTAGCGATGCCAGGAGCCCCTAGTAGCGTTCTGAAAATGGCCCTTGGTTTTAGGAATGGGTCCTCAGTCCGACAAACAAGTGTCTTTTTGGAAGATCTGGAGTCGAACAGAGCATGGTTTGCAAAAAACACACCAGAAAATTCATGAGCATGACCCTGACATTGGAACAATTTAGAACATGTGTTTGATGCTGGGTCTCTTTGTTGGTCCTTATAAACAAGGGAGTTTGCGAGAACCACTTACGTTGATGAACGCAGTCATTTGTTGAGCAGCTATGTGAGTTATGGGGGTACCTAATTAAACCATGTTGGAGTATGTTCCCTGGCACAATTCCTACAGAACCACATACCTTCTCAGAAGGTATTTGGAGAGTGTCCAAGCACTCTCCCAGAGGGTATGTGGATCCATTGGGAATGGGGTGAACTCGCCTGTTTTCCCGGCAATGGCGGTGGGGATTTCACCGTACTCTACACCACCGTGAGCACCCCCCCCGTCCAGTCCAGTCGAAATGAGTGCCAAGGTCATGTTCTGAGCCGAGCTGCGGTGAGGAAGCTCCCACATCCGCAACCTCGTCCAGTCTCTCATTGAAAGCATGTTCTGGATTTTGTTCTGATACGATCTGGTTAGTAGGTCTAATAGGCTGTAGGATCTATATAATGTCAACTCTTCTCAGCGTTTCACCCCCGTGTAACTCGGTTCCTTCCAGATCAAAAACCATGAGACGGTCTACACCCAAGACTTTTGTCTTTTCGATGCAGAACACCTCTCACAGATTTTACATTCTAACGAACACATCATATATTAGGTGGACAATGCGTGGCCAATGTATGTCGTTTCAACCCAGACATGACCCCTGTTTTGGACTGGACATGACCGGTGGGTGCATGTGTGTGGTCCATTAAACAAGAGGACTTTCTGATAGAAACAAAGTGGGGATTTGAACTTCCATGCGAGTCAACAACTGTAACAACAGTGAGTTTTTAAACATAATTTGAAGCTCTGAAGACAGATCAACTGGTGCCATCCTGTTAAAAAGACCTCGTCAGAGTGTCTTCCTGAAACCACCGACCAATCACTGAATCAAAGCCGACGGCCCACGACGCGCATTCCTGTCGGCGCAAAAGTCCTGACGGATGGCCGACAGACGCAGACGAAGTTTGCTCACTACTCGTCTGTTGACCACCCTCCGCAGTGGGGCTCATGGGCACCACCTGAGGTCCAAGGTACTTTATTGACGCCGAACTTCGAACCAATGGGAACGACATGTCATAGTTCCCTACTTCCAGGGGGTTCGCTCCCTTTTTTCAACAAACCAATTAAATCGGCACAACCCCCCCGCACGCACACCATCACCAAATGGCGGTCAAAACCAAGTCGACTGACCGGAAGGTGGGTCATTGACCTCCAGGTGGGTCGTCGCGACACAAACCCCCAGCTCTAGACACTGTCCTGACACAGGTGGTCGTGTTCTGCTCGAACAAAACCTTAACCAGTGAGTGCCATCCCATATCACGACCATGGTTGACCTATCAAAAGGCACCGCGGGAGCCATACTCCATAAACCACACCCGGTCATCGACCTGTGGATCGATCGATGTATAAGGCCCTAATTAGTGTGGTCCTTGAGGAAAAGGAAAACCATGGGCACATCATGAAGCATCACTTTGCTTTGAACTCAAACATCTCTACCCAGACACTCCAATGATATCCAATGTATGGAATAAATATATATATATATATATATTATATATAATAACTATACATATATATATAATGCCTACATTGATCCCTCAAAACATCCCAATGTAGGTCTATGTGCCACTCCCAAGGAGTGTTTGATATTTTGTTTGAAATACATAACGCAAGTTGTTTCTTGGGCGACCAGAACAACATATTAATTCTGTCTTAATGTCGACGGCTGCACGCTCGTTCGGACATGGTTCAGATCCCGTCTCGAGGGGATGTGTTTCGGGAGCTTCCACACTAACGTACGAACAAACGCGTCTGCAGGGGCGGATTTCGTTTGTGCGGATTTCAAACTTTGGACTCTGAACGGTTACACGGTTTAGCCTCAAAGCACTGAAGATGATGTCCAGTGTGATGGATGTGTGTGTGTGTGTGTCTGTTTGCTTGTCTGTTTGCTTTCCTTTTCTTCAAGAATTGGAGTATCTTTTTTATTTCTCTCTCTACTACAATCTCTATATCATTCTATATTATAACTATAAAGTATATTATGAGAAAAACAAGTACAGTTGCATATATTTGTATGTATACAGTATACATACATATACATATATACATAATTATATATATATATGTCAATGTATGAACGTCATGGCTTCTGCTCTGAGCGACTCACAAACTCCTTTCAGAACTGGATCAGATGTTGCCCAAACTCAACGATGCAACGATGACATCGAGGGGTCCACCTCACATCGGCTGTGAAGTCCACACTTGCGGGTGAAAAATGTGTTTTTTTTTTAATCGTCACCCGGTTCGCAGGCATGCCAGGCCAGAAGTAACTAATCTGAGAATCCATCCATTTACAACATTTTACAACTACCAACCCGAGGGTCCTCCGAAAAAAAGTAAAAGACATGTACTCATGTACTCTTATGATTTTTTTCGGTGTCGGACAACTCCCAACCACTCCATGGGATCCGGAATGTCTACAGGACGCCCGGAATGAGGGGTGTGGACACGAGGCTTCCAGATGCGAGATCCATTTGGATGCTGTTCTGAAAGCTCTAGCTCTTCTGGATATCAACAAGAATCGATGGTACGGATTGCCATCAGTTTCGAAGTGCTGTGCAGAGGCAAAACCTGTCAGGGTCTAAAATCGGTAAAATCTACACGCACAACATCAAGTGCGTTCGTTTCAATGTATTTTTGCTTGTTCCTGAGCTCGTGAGAGGCCCAGGGACCGCATTTGACCCTCTCTGGAAGGTGCAGTGATGGACAGCCAACAAATTGATCATGAAGTAGTGATGTTGCCAACTGTGTTTGGGTGCCCCTCTATATTTCGCAGATGCATCAATCTGCTAATTTGCTTCAAAAATAGCAGCACATGTCCAATATGTTTTCCTTCACGTCTTACACCTTGATATTTGATCCCCAGAACTTCACACCCTCCAAACATCGATAGCTGCATCGACTGGGGAGAGGCGGAACCTGCAGGGGGTAGCCCAGCACCGCCGGAGTCTCCCACCGTATGGATTCGGATGATCAGACGCTGCATTGACCCCCGTCGTTCCAACGCGTCGTGGATTCGACCGAGGCAATTGGAGGCAAACCGAGAGGGTGGGGAAGTTGGTTCAGGGAATCTGTTCTACTAGTGGTCTCTTGCTACTAGTAGCGATGTAGCTGTTCCTAGTAGCGATGCACTTGTTACTAGTAGCTTCTATAGCTCCTAGTAGTAAGGCCAGGAGCCCCTAGTAGCGATGGGCCCCTCAGTATATCCAAGCCAATGCATGCAAATGCGATAGGTACTTGGAGACCAGACACTAAATCTGTGACACTGACATGACGGGCGCCAACAACCTGGTCATTCAGCAATCCAGTTTCTTGCCGCCTCTTGAGTTCTAGATTCCGAGGCATGTGCATGCGGACAGCAGCCTAAGGCTCCTACCGTTTTGCACCACGTGTTTTTATTTGTTTTTCAAACTTGTGCGTCTTGAATGGCAGTACCTTGCGGATCAACCATTGGACGCAGATGGTATGTCATTTCAAGGCTTGGGAGAGGTTTGCAGCATGGCATCAGTAATATCTCTTTGCCGCATGAACAGCAGAGAGAGATTGGACTAGTCTGGTTTCATGAGACCACCTACCCCTTTTTTGGGTGGTTGGGTGTTTGTTTTCTTTTGTTTTGATTTTGTCATCCAGGGGTCCAGGCTCCGACAAAAGCCCTTCTTTGACGCATTGGGATATACCTTGATTTAGAATGATTATATATAATGATATGGGACGTCCTCCAGGCTTGATTTGAGGTCCACCAGGAAGGCTCGGCAGACCAAGCCAAAGGAGTGATACGCACGCTGGAGAGCCCTTCCAAGCCTTGGCACTGAAAGATGGTGCGTGCAGAGACAACAAAAGCTGGATCACGGATTTCTGTATTGAAAACAACATAAAACAACATGTGTTGTTTGTTATCCTCAGGTGTTTAAAGTTTAATTACTTCTTTGAACCCACATCTTTGGTGGCTGTTTCCATTTGGCTTCAGCAACAAAGCTTTTGAGCACACTGCGCGTTGGACATCTGCGCGTCGCGTTATGGTTTTGAAGAGAAAGGACGAGCCGAGCCGAGCCACACACACGAGCCGTGTGATGCTTTGGCGGTCCCCTCAGCCAGCTCCCCTCAACAGCCAGTCCGACTAACCTGTCGTTTCCTGACTGGGTAGTGTCGATAGGTGCAAAAAGTCCTTTTGGTAGGTTTCTGGATCACAGAAAAATGGGTGCATCCAGTCATCCAGAAAGTAAACCTGGTAACCCGAAACCGACATCTGGATCGGTGCCCCTCAGGCTTCAGGAGGTGTAGGGGCGGGCCGTTTTCTTCACCCTCTCGGATGGGTCGGCTCCAGTCGTAGCTTCGGTTCGAAGGCGCTTGGGGTGGGCTTTGGGGGTCCAACGACCTTCGGATATGGGACACTGAGGTGTAGGGCAAGAACAGTCTCCCTAGCAGTTGATGGACTGCACGTCATACTGCCCGTCTGAAGGGTCAACACGATATGATGGTGATTTGTTTCTCCAAGTCTCCGTATACACAGCTAACATGTATTCTAAGATTCCTGGACATACTTTGGAATGTAAGTGGGATGCTCCTAGACCAGAACCACCTGCACAACCTCCATTTGGTAGCTTTGTAGGAGAGTTCAAACAGGATCACTTTGGCGACTATCTTTTTTTGCCAATGGAACCAACTTGGACCATTCAAACCTATTCAGGTTGAACCCGCAGATGGGTCCGTTCTCGGCTCAGGTGCCAGGTTAAGAGATGCATAGAGAGATGCTCAGCCCACATGCAGGACCTTTGCAATCTCTCAGAAGTGCGACCTGCCATCACCTGACACCTTCATCACCTGCATCACCTGTTCCCTCTACCCCTCTACTCCATCACACCTCATCCGGCCACTTAGATCATCAGCTCATTTGGCAGATCTCAAAGCCATGGCCATTTGGCGACTTCGTCGCAACGTCCACACGTGAAAGACCATGGTTCTTCAGGCTGCGGTTCCGGTGTGTGGAGGAAAAGGGTCGAAACCATGGGTCAATTCTCAGGATCCATTTCGTCTGCGGGGGGAATATTGTCGAATATCGATCGATCATTGATCCTTGGAAGGAGGTGACGGAGGTGTATGATTGCGTGGACATTTGTGTTGGGAGGACTTGTTCGTTTTACTTGGAAGTACATTGAATGGCTACAAGATTTGCCAACAGGTGTACAGTCGTGTACAGTATACTTCGTTATTTCCGAACATGTTCGCATGGGTCTCAAAATCGACCTATCCGGTGTGCGTTTTTGCCCGTGAACATCTACCATCAGACCTGAACCAGTGGGATCAAAAAGGACAAAGATGTTTCCGCCTGGAATGACCAGCAGCAAGCTTTGATGTGGCCTTTACTTTGGCCAGTCTTTGGAAGGCACTGCATTTTGTTGCTGGGTTAACAGCAAGCAGCTCGGCATCACCTTCCATGGGCCACAATGACAACAAACAGACCAGATGGAGTGCCGCCTTGAGAATTCACAGGACGACTTGGTCGCGGGTCGCCAGGTGTACATTCTCTTGGAGTTCTTTGCACTGGCGCTGGCAGCGTGTCGGGGGGCCATGCTGACCAAGAACAGGCGGTTTCCGGAAAAGGTCCGCTCCCTAGGGCTCCTGTCCCGCATCCCCAGGTTAGGTGGGACTGGTGGCCCGGGTGCCAGGGGGGTCGAAGACCAGCACCTGAGGAGATGGGACAGGAGCCCATCCGGGACTGTTCGTTTGGGGAATGAAGATCGAGGATGGGGGATGTTCGACCTTCGAACAGGGCGGCATGTGTCAAAATCACTGGATGTGAAGTTGGCACAAATGACTCTTTCGCACAATCTTTGTCAACTGTACCCTTGTACTATGATTTTCTATGATCTCTATGATATATTTCTATATGATTTTCTATGATTTTCTATGTCCAGTATATGTGCACTGACACCAATTTGTTCAACATCAGTCTACCAGCAGACGCACATCATCCTGAATCCGTAGGCCATGGATGGCCATGTCTTGAGACACCTTGCTTTGGGTCATGCAGCATGCAGGGCGTCCTCCTGCATTCCCTCGTGTTCCGCCAATCCTTGGGGCTCAAAGGTCTTTAAAGCCAGGTCTTTTCCTTGGGTCCCTCGAAATCGGCGGGCCCATCCCCACGAGAAGGGCGTGGGGGTCCAAAAACTACCGGGTTGGTGGTTTCATATATGATATAGCTTCATCCTTGACTTGGGGATGATTGATTTGACTGACTCAGATGTTTTTGAGTTGAAAGCAAGCATTGAAGCCACTAACCGGAAGTCCATCTCGCCGAGCTTCACATGTCACCATGTCGGCGCTGCGGGCGCGAGCCTTCCCGGTGCTGCTTGGGGCATTGGTGCTTCCAAGCGTAGGCCCGGTGCCTTCGGTGTGCCGGTCCATTCATAATACTGAGGGTGAAGATGGGTGAAGTAGGGTGAAGTATAACTACCCAGGAAGTGCAGTGAAGGAACTTTCAACTAGATTTTAGACTCCACTCAACAAGTACTAAGTAGAGCGCAGAGTTCGTTCGGTTCACCTTTCTTTGTCAGCGAAAAACAGCGAGGGGGCTCTCCTTAGTTCGCTGGACGAGGTCTGGGACGCGAGGGTTCCAAGATGTTCCAAGTTTGATCCAGTTTGGGATCACCAACAGAGGTTGAGTGACCATATAGGACCCTACAGGGGTACGTATAGGATAGTCTATAGGGTTCTTCAACCTCTGCTGGCATGTTTGAATCCAGGTCGTCTCGAAAAGACTCGTAAGGAATACTCCCAGACAGTCCATTGAGTCCATTGAGCTTTTTCCGGGTGCTAGAACATGGTAGAACATGCTAGAACTCACTTTTCTGCGGAACATGCATGATCGCGCTCTACACGCATAGCATCAATCAAGCGCGCTCTTCGCCGTTTTGGAGCGCAGCTTCCGATCTCGAAGCCTCCCCGGCCGACGGAACAGGACACCTTCAAGAACTGGATATACCTGACCCATGTACCTGACCCCCCTCGAAAGGGTCAGCATCCCTAATTGACCCCTTGGGGCTCCAGTCATACCTCAGAAGGTATGGCTGGACCCGGAGATGGCACCCGGGCCCCAACAGGATCAAACATCGCTTCGCTTGGAACGATATAGGCCCGAGAGTGGTAGTCAACCCTATGAATCCACCGTCTGAGACATGGCCGTGAAACGGCCACAAAACAGATGAACCATGATGAAACCATATGATTCCAATACAAAAAGTCTCAAAAAGCACTATGAATGCCACGATTATTGAACCATGTGAACTCATGTATAAAACATTATAAAAACATATGATACCGTACCCGGACTCCATGGGACTGATCTGCCGATCAATTGGGTGGAGAAGGTACTTGGATCCCTAGGGTAAATATTCCAGTTGCATGGAGCGTCAAGGATTTGGCAAAATTTACAAAGGGTGGAGCAGACACTCGGCTCCAGGATCTTGACGGTTTTTTGGCGAGAAAAAACGATTTCTCAGTTTGGCCTAGTGTTTGGCCTAAATGGAAGAGATTTCCATTCACCCTGAAGTTCGTTGATGTTGATGAGTAGATCACCCATAGAGGATTCTGTTCAGTCTTGGGGTTCAATCAGGTCCTTGGGAGCAATTGGTAGAGGGGCTAGTAGCGGCTAGAGGGTCTCTAAGTACCGGCCTACACACCATGTGCTGGTAGCATCTGGTAGCTTTGGAGTACATCGCTATAGTATCAATCCCAAACATCAACACTGTTCGAATGTCACTCAGCAGGTGGCTTGCGGCCTGCCTTCGAGGATCATGTGGGCACCAGCCGCTTGGAGATCTGGGAGACCGAGTTGTTTGTCCTGAACGTGGGAAGAGAAAACCAAGAAGAAGTGAAAGCTAAACAAAACCTATGTTAGTTGTTTCTGTTCAGTGGCAATATGATTGAGTCATCGGATATCTTCCTGCATTTACGCAGGGGTCATATATATATATTATACAATATAGTATAAATTATATATGTATACTATATATTAAACTTAATTGATCAGAATCATAATTCATAATTAATGGCCTTGAAGCGGCAGAATCAGTTGGCCCATGATGCTTTGTTCACTTTTTTTTTTAAAAATCATTTTTCTCCTACACTTCTCTCTCTCTATATATAATACACAGTAACGATTGCAAGATTCAGATGGTGATCCCTCATTGGCAAAATGTGTGCTTCAAGCTGACATTCTCCAGAAGGTTCTTGTCCGATAGTCAACTGATTGTCTCATAGCCTGAGCTTGTTTTCCTCAAACATAATTTTGCCCCAATCTTTGTTGAAGATACTGTACACTACCTGAAACCAGGAGTGGATGGAGTGCATGGAGTCAGGCCCCTTTCCAAGACCATTGTTCACTCTAAAAAAACTCGGAGTTTCTCCTCTTCCGTGTTTGTTGGCTCGGCAAGAAGATCCTAGCAGCTGAGTAAACATGGCAGCTGGGTAAACCCAAGACCTTCACCCAAGATCCACCGAGCCCGGATGCCACAGCTGGGTCGCCAGTGAACCACCGCGCCGGACCCTGACCGTGGCGGTCGACCAGTGATGTTCGGTGTGATGACGTCAACCCGTTCGGAACGGTCTTGGGTCGCCCGGCCCGTCGGTGTCGGCGGTGCCGACTGAAGGAGTGGAAACGGAGCAGCGATTCGAGATGGTGAAGTCCTTGATGCAGCAGCTTGGACCGACGTGTTTGAGCGGATGGGTCCACTGCCTCGTGGTTTTTCCAGATGCGGTTTCAAGGACCTGTTGCTTAATCTGTGTTCCACCATGATCGATCTTACGTGTTCGGATGGGATGAAGCCCATCATGTTGGGAAGATCCCATCAGGTTGAGATCACACCAACTCTGTCACTCAACTCTGTCACGCAAATCAGATCCAAAGGATCATCCTCACTCGTTCTTGCCATACCTCTCCATTACCTCACTGATGTCAACTGTCCCTGTTGGTCCCTGTTCAGCTTGCTTCTGGCCCTGGAGACTCCGGGACTCCGGCGAAAACCCGATTGAAGTCGGCCAGAGGAGCCAGAAGGTTCAGTAGTGGTAGAAGGTGGCAGGAGGTTTTGATGCTACACTCCCTGAAAGGAAGCACGGGTTAGTGAAACAACATTGGAAAGCCCGGAAAGCCCTAAATATTTGGATTTCATGGTCTTCCAGGTGCCATACCATCCGCATCCACCATGATTTGTTCCACAAAATGTGTCACTGTTTTGGGTCAACAAAAAATGCAAAAAGGATGTCACACGAACATGAGTGTGTTGCGTTTTTGGAAGGTGTCACAATTCTTGACCGAGTGCCACGGGTTAACGTGCCACCCCTTAAAGGGGAACTGTGGAAAGGTCCAGCCCACGCGGGTCCTCAAAGAGGGTGGTCACGACATAGCTAGGGTTGGTTGGATAGATGAAATTGTAGATTTTGCTGGTTTTTCTAATGCAAAAAAAGGCAGACATGTTGCACAGTTGGTAGATCTATATAGGTATTTCCTCTCGAAAGCACTAGACGTCTGAGTTCTTTTCTACCATGGCCATCGCCATGGGGTCAGCACCTCTGGACCTGCATCTGCCCGAATTACCGAAGCATACGTTGGTTGGTTGGACACTCTGAGCCATCTCCCCAATCTTGGCAACTTCCAGGGTTGTGGGGGTGTGGGGGAAGGTGAAGAGAGGAAGGCCTTTTTTTGAAATGCTCTTCCATGAAGCAACCACATAAAGTTGGATGCAGGGTTGGACAGACCATTGGCTTTTCTGTTTGAGTTCCCAACAATCAGACGTTGTGACGCAACACCGGCAGACTCTCCGCTGGGTTCAGAGGACTCGTTGGTTGACCACCTTAGCTCCTCATGTTCACTTCCCTCACACCATCTCTCACCTCCATTTTTGGAGGTAACCACTCTCCCACCACACTCCTTCATGAGACATGTGTCCCACGCAGTTGAGACTGAGGACCTACTCCTCTCAGGGACGTTTACTGGATCGGCAGCGCGTGAATCGCTCCAGTGTTTCGTTGGACTTTGAAATCGAGTACCCCGGTGGCCACAGCTCAACGCCTGCTGTATGTTCAAGTGCAGGGAGAGCGCAGCGGGGCATGGACTGATGGGTACGGCATGGACTGATCAACTGTGAATCATTGTCATAGTCTATTATTCAACATCATTCAACCATATGTTGCGTAGATGGACCCATCATTTTGATGGGCAACTGTTTGATTGGATGACTGAAAACTCCTGTAGCTCGTTTGATCCTTGGTGGAATTCTTGTTTAGAGCTTCAGGAGCGCACACAGTGGTCGGAGCATTTAGATTTGAACGTCAGCAATCTCCAGAAAAAGCTGGGAGACTTGCCAGACCACTCAAACAGGTTGACCATGCGTCATGCAGGCTGTTGATGAATAAGCCCCCTCTATGAAAATATTTTACAATCCAAATGGGGGGGTTATCAACCAGCATTATACATTGTATAATTAAGTAGTATCACTAATATTATATTATATTATATTATATTATATATATATATATTAGTACGTTTGATTGCAAGATATTGCAAGCTCGCTAGTTGAAACAGTACCCAGCCAGGGGTTGTGACACTGTCCATAATTCACGCGACATGCAATGTGTTTTTTTCAAGTCAGGAAATGTCAGGAACAGGTAGAAATAACTGGGTTGAGGGATTGAAGGAATTGGTTGCTGAAAAGGAGAGTCAACCGATGCAGAGTATGTACAGTGATAATGGGTGAATGCTTCTCACTCAGATTACAAACATGGCAAGAAAGATAAGCAATGCGGCCTATGCACAGCTCTTTCCCGCATTCGTGCCGAGGTTGAAAGGAAGTCGATTGGTGATGACTCTTTGCACAACTGAGTGCTTTTTGGGACACAACTAGCAGACGGATGTGCTTGTTTGGCTCTCAAACCCAATTGGTGCGTTTGCTGGCTACCCTCCACCCAAGAAGGCAAACCTTTTGGAAATGGGGGGCCCTGTTGGTTTGCGGGATGCACGTGCCACTGTCAAAGAATGTCCATTCTTCATGCTTCGCTGGCGATGGAGATGCGCCAATGCTCATCAAAACTAGCCTGTGTTGAGACACGGACTGACCTGTCGTATGGTTACCCTCCGACTGACCAACATGGAAGTGGAACACGGACCCTTGGATGATGATGTGACGAATACCATACAGGATGGGGTCATCTATGAAGCAGTCTGCAAAAACTTGATGAGTCATGTGTCCTTCCTGCCACACCCCTTCCTGCCTCAACAAGGACCTGTTGATACAGGACCTGCGGTTTAGACCCTCGAACTCGGTGGCGCTTTCAGGACCCCCCAGCTGGTGCTCCTGCGCGGAGGAGTTCAGCCCAAGCGTCCGCTGTTCCCCCAGACGTCCAAGTGGCTCCTCGGGCCAGGTGGCAGGATGGCCAGGTGGATGCCAGTGGTTTCCCCACTGCAACCAACCGGAAAGCTCGGGTTTAACCTACTATTACTAGAGGTCCAGTCTGACCCAGGAAAAGCTGGTCCTTCATCTTATTGAGTAGTGTGATGTGTGAGCAACTCCACTAAAATGAGGTCTTTGACCTGTAGGGTGTGCTTGTCCACTGATGGAGTCAGCCTGAGACCTGCTGGGTTCTTCCATTAGTAACGCAATAATTACTATATTAAGTCCGCCCACCGGCGATGGCTTCCTTTCAACGTCACGCAGTCTTCCAAGCACTCGCCGCTAGTCCTGTTGTTGTTCACCGCGAGTCAGTTCAGAGCTCAAGATGGTATTCAAAAGGTGGGAGGAACGGTTTGCCCAAGCGTCTTGACAGTGAGCAAAGGAGTATTATAGATCGAGTTTCCCCTAAAGGGTTGGATTCCACTAATGCTCAACCCAGGGGCCCTAAGATTTGAGGTGGTCCTGGGTCCTGCTGCAGCTTTCAAAGGGGATGGTGTTGTGAAAGAGGCAGACAGATGTACTCCTCTCAGCAAGGTGTTTGAAGACGTTGAAGATATCCAGTAGCATTCTACTAGTATGCCAGAACTTGCTCAACTCACAGTTCATTGGAAGAAAACTCCAAGACACCATCCCTTTGCACGCTTCCCACAACACAGTTTAAGATGTTTCCTGCATTGGCTGTCCATTCAGGCAGCTTTCAAGGCAGCCCTTGGATCGAACTCCAGATGAGCAGAGAATGCATCCAGAATCATCCAGAGATTCAGCGGTCATCAATTCCATCCAACTGGCCCTTTTGATGATTCACTCTTGCTGGCCAGAAGTTCCAACCAAACACCTGCTTGTGCTGCCAGGTTCCAAGTGGGCTTGGATGGCGGCATCTACCTGCACGGTCAGGAGAGACGCCGCACACCTGCGCATGAGCGGTGGAAGCAAAGCGCCAGCGCCCTCATCGAGCTGCAAACTGAAGCTTGGTTGGAGCACGTGTTTTGGAATGACAGCGCCCCAGCGGCCGGCCTTTGGATGAACGGACGGTGACGTCATTGTTCTTTCCCCAAAAACACAGGTCCCAGACGCTATGTATGGAATACAGTATACTTACTGTACTTGCATTGACCCCTTTTCAACCACCCCAGTTGATCGGAAAATCTGCCAGTCCCATTGAATGTTTGGGCATTAATTAGACTAGATGGCCGTTCGGAACCAGAAACAGATCCCCCTTCGCACCAACATGTTGACATTCTGGAAGTGAGAAATACCTACCGTCGGTCAAAGTTCAAAACGGACTTCGTCAACTTGTCTTCCGCCGTTCCATTTTGGGCAAAAATACCTCCGGGTGTGAACGTGGCGACTCTGGAACATCATCATTAACACCTCAAAATAGCAGTTCGTTGTTCAGTTCTTTTCACTCGCATGAGGAAATAGCCTCATTCCCTGGAGGATCATGTTCCATGTACTGGCCCGAGTGCCGAAGGTGGAACTGGGGGCGGTGCCGGCTTCAGTGTCATACCTTCTGAGGTACAACTGGAGCCCTAAGGATTTGGACCTGTGATTACATAGTACGCGATGTTATTCTTGTCATACCTTCGGAGCTACGACTGGAGCCTCAGGGCTGGAGGATCAGGACCGTTTCCCTCCCCCCCCCCAACTCCCCCAGATGGCCAGCGACTGAGGAGACCATCGCGCCCGCGGAAATCGAAGATCTTTTGCCCGATCTGCCGCTCGATCCCTGACTTCGCGGGCGGTGGCCGGTTCGGGGGCGAGGTGTTTTTTGGTTGGGTCGTTCCCGCGTCGTGGCATCTCAGGTCGGATGTTCGGCCACCGCGAACAGAAACAGGATGCATCCAGTCAGCCTTTGGTAAAAGGCATCCCAAACCTGAGGGATTTTGGGGTTGAACATGGTTGAACTATACTTGACGCTGCATCAATGGTGGAACCAGGACGGGTTGGGGGAATTAGTGGAATCGAGAAGTTTTGGATTTCCAAATGGATTTTTACAACTGGATGGCTTTTGAGCATTTGTTGGTAGCCCCACCTGAAATCAACATATCGAAGTAGAAAAACAATGATCATCATCACAATTCTTGATGGCAGCTGCAGAAAGTGCTTGTGAAAGGCCAAATCAACCATTGTTTCTCACTTCCAGCGAATAGGCCCAAAACCCGACCTCGACACCAACACTCGATCGTTTGGGACCGCCAACACTTGCAGGCAACGCTGGCTGCGGAAGGTGAACGCTTGTGGTGCCACGGCAGACGAGCGATGGGCGAACCGGCCTGCGGTAGTTGGTATAGATGATATGCTGTGCTGGTTTGCTCCTACATCAAATCACTGTAACCATATGATACTGTCGTAACCATATGCATGTTTTTCAGTATTGGGGGTGCCATGGCGAAGCCGCTTTCTACCGTGTTTCCACATGTTTCCAATGTGTTACATATCCCAGACAGTCCATGTATGTCATATATGCCTATATTGGGGTGGTTTTGGGGGTCAATGTAGGCATATATGGCATACATGGAGTGTCTGGGTTTTGTTTTTTTTGACACCGTTGATCAAGGGGACCAGGTCGGGTGTCTGAACTTCGCAACAAGGGCCCCGCGCGTAAAATCACCCTGTGAACCTTTCGACACCCAACGGGTCTGGTTTCAGTCCGTTTCATTATGTCACACCATGTCCAAGACTGATCCCAACATGTCACAACCCCGCTTGCCCACTTTTCACACCCCGGAAAAGACCTCATTATGTTTGCATGAATCCCCTGAAGCTTTGCTACCGCACTTGCGCCGGGTTTTTCAGTCACCCACCACTCTCCCTCCGCAGCTCAGGATCTCAGCGTCGCTGCTTGCTGCCTCGTCCAACGTCCACGGCGGCCTCTTCGACGGTCGCGCCCGCGGTGCACTTCACGCAGAGGCGATCGGTGGAGTCGCCTGGCGGGAGAGGTGATTTGGGCGTTGGGCACTAGGGCTGGAGAAGGATGTGCAAGATTGTACAGGATTGACTAACCAAAGTGTACGTAGTATACGTAGTCAAGTTTGTAGAAGAAGCCTGAATAAGTAGAAGGTTATGGTCTAGTCCTTCCAGGATGCCTTTTTTGAGCAGGAGGATTACAACAGGCATTTTGTTGATATGTTTAGATCATGTTTGGATCAAGTTGCTGAATCGTGTTCTGGATGTGTCTCACGGAGTGAGCGGAATCATGCGTCCCACGTGTGAACAGGGTTTCACACATGGCAAGTCGACTTGCTTCAGGCTTGCCAACGTTCAATCCACCTGAGGACATGTATACATGTAGTTGCCGTGGGGTATTACAATGGTGTCTGAATGAATCCAAAGTGAGTAGGAACCAAACGGAGGACCATTTCAACGCCCCGGATCCCCTGGAGGTGGACGCTGACGGGTCGACTCGGTCGACCTCGGTGCAAGTCTTCAAAGAGCCACTCAGCATGTAGGAAGTAGAAGAACCACGGGAAATACACCAGTTGTAAGGTCTTATAAGACCAAGAGTTGAACTTGGAGGGAGGGTGTATAACTGCACCACCTTCTCACTGTCCATCACCCTGTACTCTTGGCCATCCTCAGGTAGGGACAGATCTCCCACTCATCCACTCCGGTCCCAGCTTCACCAAGACAGAGCCGGGGAGCCGGAGACTTTGCTCGTCACCAGGTCTTGGAATGCTCCAGAGACGGTGCAGTTCACCATTGGCCTGGACTTGTCAAAGGTCTTCCGCTGGTTGAAGTTATCGCCTTTCCACCAACGTAGCGGCATCTTGGAGAAGGCGCCATATGGGCCATATGTATACAAAGCACACACACACACACCATATGTATACAAAGCACACACGAAGACGACCGAGCATGACTCTACACACGTATTTTGTTGCTTGGATGGGCCTGTTGGCAGAGGAATTGCTTGACGACGAAAGAGCTGGTACTGGGGACGGTCATGAGTCATGCGGACGGTTTTTTTGGGTCACCCAGAGTCAGATTTGAGATACCCAGCTACTCAGGATACGCCATAGCAGATAATTAGTGGGTTCTCCCAGCTTACAGTCGCGCCAGTCGCGTTGCGGTAGCATCTAGTGTTTGTGCAACTATATGTGAGTGCTCGATGAGTTTGATTCCATGGCTGGAGGGTTGCCGGCAGGGTGAGTGGAGATGGTGAGACATGAACTTGGCCAAGCGAGTTTGCTAAAGTACATGGCATTGCTTTGAAGAGTGCGCTTGTTTGCTGTGAAGCCTTTATCAAGTTTCGAGGATACCACTGAGCCTTCCATCAAGACTTTTGCAAAGACCAATCCACCAAAGCTCGGTGGTGCAAGGTTCCTTCAGTCTCCTTTCACGTGCAGGTGGCCCGAGTCTGCAAGGGTCAGAGTGATGTCTATGGCTCACTGGTGGCTTTAGCCGCGACCACACTGGAGCAAGCCAAGAGATCCTGGGACCAGAAACTGGATTCGATCTTGCTCTCATCGTTTTGGTTTCGGGAGCAAAGACTGTTGTGGTTGGTTGTGGCTGGATGGTGGACTCAACACATACACTGGGCAGGCGCAAAGTAGGCCCTCTGGAGGCGTGCAGTGCTGGGGATGACTCTCGATATCAGGGCAAATTTGTTGACGTTGCATGTGCTGAAGAGATTGCTGAGTGTCTCAGTTTACACCGTGGAAGACAAACGTAGACCCTGAAAACCACTGGTTGGTAGAGGAAAACAATCTTCCAGGGGTTATTGCCAGAGTCTATATGTTGGTGTTCTTCGGGAGTGTAACCATGGATTCAGGCCTCGACAGTCTTCTTTCTATAGGTGGGATTGTATTAAGCTGTTCTTTAAGCTGATCACATGCCCATCCTTGGGGGTCTCTGGTCTCTTCTACATCCTTTTGCGAGGTTGCTTCTAGCAATAGCTTCATGGTCTGGAGTCTACATGAACACCGGGTTTCCCTTACAATATCCTTCTATGTTTTCGTGTAACATACAAGCCTTGTTTTTGATGCTTTCTGGAGGTCATGGAAGTTAGGAAACCTTCATCTCCATGCCGGTGCATGGAGGAAAGTTCCCAGCAACCGAGGCAACGACCTAAATTCTGTCCAGGTCTTTTTGTTGGCGTTTTCGGACTCCCAGCAGTCCAAGGGATGATGCGAATTTGCAGCAGCCCTCAAGACCTGCAGTGCAGAAGTCCTCAGAGTCTGTAGAGTTCAAGTCGAGTTCTGAAGGACTTTTTTTGCTGTTTCGTATGGTTGGGGGGAACGGTGGTTTGAGTGTTGGTAAAATGTTTTGGTGTGAAGTGAAACCTTCTGGAATGCTGGGGTTCAATGTGACTGTTACTCCAGATCCAATATCGACAAACATCAATACGTTACTTATGCCTATTATCTCAGGCCATTTCTGTGTCTGACATAGGTTCATCAAATTCAGCTTTTGAAGGGCAGAGAGATCATTTTGGGTGGATCATAACACTCACATGCATGGTGAGCCCGGAACGAAAACCTCTGGTTGACCTTCCCAGGTACTCCATGTCTGTTACCTTCCCTGGCGGTGCCATGACCCAAACGTCCCAACTTCAGCTTTCGAGCGCCCCAACTGACGTCCGTCTTGAGCGGGTCTTCGTCTTCCTCCAAGGATATGACTCCGGTCACCGCTGCGACCATCCGTGCCTGGCTTGCAGTCGCAAAACACGTTAAACATACAACAGTGACTGGCTGGCTGTTGGGATACTCCGTTGTATCGCAAGGGAGACAAAACACTTGACTTCTGGATGTTCTTTGTTTGCAATGCTTGCAAGAAGTGTATGTGATGTAATCCACCCAAGACTTCAGCCTTCATCACGATTTGGGAGTCTGCAGTCTCCACGGTTCAGACTGCCACCCGCCAGACGGCTTCCCCAATTATATAATCGTTTGGAGTCCAAGAGTCAACGGTTGAGTGACATTCACTTGACCAGATTTTGCGACCTCTCTGGGACAGGATTCACTTGACCTACATTTCATTGAGTGCTTGATTTCAGGAGAAGAGCACGAGTCGGCGGCTGATTCCAACTGCAATGGGTCCTATGGTTCGTGGGAATTCGGTCGAAGGGGTTCTGCTCAGGAAAGCGCTGATGCAGCCCTATCTGGTGCGAAGCCACTGGGGAGATATGCTCACCGTGCTCTCGCCCACAGAAAGGGAGCGCTTCGCGTCGGATGTCTTGAAGGTCGTTGCACAGCAAGGCATCCCACTGGAAGCTGATGCTCCGTGCCTGTGGCGGAAGCAGAGAGGGAGCCGGCGGCTTTTCGATTGGCTCAGGAGGGAGCGACCGAGGGTCGCCAGGGGGAGCCAAGGAGCTCAAGGAGCCAGGGGTATTCATCATTTCCCCAATGAAAAGGGAGCCAAGGAGCTACCCGGGAGGTACCCCAACCCCCTTTGCTAGGTCCACTAGGTTGACATGCATTTTGAAGGGTTTTTGTTGGTGATGAGGATGAATGACATTGATGTTCAGGGATGACATAAAGCTCATGGTTTGTTCAATGGTCGGAATCCTTGGCGAGTTACACCGATCGACAACAGATCGATGGGTTCTTCGACGAGTGAGGCTGTGGAAGCAGAACTTCTATGACTACCTGAAGTTCCCAGAAACTTGGACTGCTGTAAAGAAAGGACTTAACTGCTATCATTTGCTCTCCACGCCATCGTCACCCATCGTCCGAGCTGTGAAAGATGCTTACACTTCAGGGTAACTGACTAGAAGAGGCGTCCCCCAACAGGGTGCATCGAATGAACTTTTGCATTTGGCGGTCATTCCAATGAGCTCGACACAGTTCATGACACGGTCCACTCGACTTGGCGGAGCGGGAAGACCGAGGAGACCTTGGAGCTGTCACGCTTGGTCGCCTGCCGTGCGGCCGCACTGCCGGAAGGTTCCACCCAAATCGCCCAGGACGACCGACCCGGGCCCGGAATCCGTCCAGACCCGACGGAGGGTAGCCCTTCCGGGGTAGAGGGCCTCGAGGGTGTTCTTGGGTCTGTCACGACATCTCCTTTTCTTATCAGCACCGTGCCCATTCTTTAATTACAGGCACTTACGTTAAGTTTGGGGAGCAGGGAGAGACAGAGACGAGCAGCGTCCAGCATCCCTTTGGATGGTTCTTGGGTTTGGATGTTTCTGTTTTGCTTTTAATCGTGTTCTTTGGTTTGGGGAGGTCGATGGATGGGTTCCAAAGGGTTCGATACAAGCCTCCTATTCCTTTGACTCAGTGATTTCCTTTGTTGATTTGCGCCAAGAAATTGGATGTGGGGTACCAAGTCAAGAGAGTTTGTGTTGAATGAATGTCCAGAAATGTAAGCAAGCACATGAATGCTGTGTGTTGTGTGTGTGTGTGTTTTCATGGTTCATGTCAGTTGACTGGAGGGTCCTCAGAATGTTTTTGACTCACCACCATCCTCAAATTACTTGAGACTCCCTGAATAATCATTGAAGTGGAGTTCACCACCTATCAGTAATATAACTCAATGCTTCAACTATCATCCGTTTTGCTTGTCCGCTTCTGGCCAGGAGATGCCGACCTCCTTCGAGGGTTTGAGGTCAATGGCACGAAAGGTGCTTGTTCAAGAAGTTGGGACTGCAGGACCTCCTTGTTCTGTACCAATCAAAAAGGCATTCAGGCCAGGGAAAGAAACATCTGTAGGGATGCAGTCGTACCTTCTCAGGTTCGGGTACGACTGGACACCCTCCTGGCACATACATGACAGTGTCAAACACATGACACATCACCGTACCTGAGAGACGGTACGACTAAAACCCTAGGGGGTTGATACAGTGGGGATGTGACCCTCGGATCCGTCGGGCACCCGTGGGGCACCCGTCGGACCGTTTCCCGGTGCGTTCCTACCAGGCCTGAAAAAATGCTGTTAAAGAACAGGTGGTAGATGGCGGTATAATATTCTATATATACCCATTTTTTCCGAGGTATGAACTGAGACTCCAGGGATGAACTAGGAATCTCAGAACTTCCAACTGTATGAAGGTGTTTGCGACTGGGAACATGCACGATAGTATGCACGATGTTCTGCAGGGCAAGTAGCACCAAATACTACAAACGTTTACCAACAAGAGGATCGAACCACCTTCTACCCCTTGCAATGAACAACTGCAAGGACTACCGTCATCCTCAATGGTGAGACCCATTTTCAAGGTCCCGCACCTCAACTCCCCCGGTGTCCCCTTGGTTTCCGGCAGCTCCCCGGTCACCAACCAGTCACCTGTGTTTCAGGTGCTTCTGCAGCGTCGGCGCGTGGACCGGCGCGTGTCGTCGCGCTCCTGCGGCTTCCATGGCCGCACCACTGGCGCCCGGTTCACGGCGAGAAAGTGGCTGGAGGCGGCACTCCAGGGGCAGGACCGGAGCATGTTTTGGGTTGGCCAGGGCAGAACGTTGTGAAGGGACGGGAAAAGGTATGACAAGGTATTTGAAGAATACCCATTTCGACATGTTGTTTTTTTCTATCAGTGATCACAAATGATGTGATGAATCCAATGTAGGTCAGTATAAAAGGGCATCATTTATACACTCGTCATATTGGACTGGATTGGGCTGGGTGAGGAAGTGTCATGTGTCGTGCTGGTCGCTTCTCATGGGCCTAAAGCTGGTTCAATTTGCATGTGCGCAACCTTCCCTGAACTTGCATTGTGGAAGAGCGGCGGACTTTTCATTCAGTGGTTTCATGATGTTTCATGTTTGGACCAATTTCTTTGCGGTTTCTACTATTGTCCACTGAAGGTCCATGAAACTGCACGCTGAAACTGCACGCTTTGAAGAACCAGGTGCCTAATCCATGTTCATCAGCCCACAACCAGACGCCCCAGCAATTGGGGCAAGCATCGACCACGTGCACGACGTGACGTTCGGGGAGAATCGGAGAAGGAACACATTCAAACCAGCCCTACTGTAATACAATTATTCTTGGGCTCCAACTAGCTTGACCCTCCAGTCACCTACCACGGTCCCATTGTGAAACTCGAAACGGGAGGCTTTAGATTCCCAGGTTCCCAGAGGGTCCATGTGTGGAATAGTTACCTGCATGAGGGTCATAAATGGAGTAAATGTGTGTAACTATTCCATAATCACATGCAAGATGTCCTAACTATGCAAAATGTTTGCCTTTTTGGCTGGTTTTATTGATAAACAGCATGTAGACTGGACGATCTAGGTGGATGGTCCGGGGTTAGTTGTTTCTTCCTTTGTGTGGCCTTGATTCTAGACTTGAAGGACTTGATGTCCGACCACGACTCAGAGGCTAGCACCAAGGGATCCTTGAGCGGCCCGGAAGAAGGGATGAGGGTGTGGAATTTCTTGGGATGAACGCCAAGCGCGTGAGAATCACATGGGGTAACCATCGTTAACCACCATAGGTTAGCTATTGGATGCCAATGGCATTTCCGAATCATGTTCGACTTGGGCGCCTTGGACGGCTACTTTTCCTCTACAAAGTTGGGGGAGTTCCAGGAGTGGATGGAGGGCATTGCTACTTCCTAGGGCTCCTGTCCCGCATCCTCAGAAGGTGCTTGGGGTGCCAGGGGGACTAAAGACTAGCTACCTTCTGAGGATGTGGGACAGAAGCCCTAGGAAAACCATAATATGGGGATGAGTCAAAACAACCTAGTAGGGGTTAAAGACAGAAGCATCTTGGGGTCGACTTCCCTGCTATTTTGTTTTGGGTGATTCTTTAGTTTCCCTAAAGGGATGGGTGAATTATCTTTCGGGAACGTTGTTGCTCTTTTTTCCTGGTTCTTTGACAGCAAATCCAAGCTGCAACATCCCCCCTAAGAAAACCTGGGCTGGGCAGCCCGTATACGTGGGCCGCCGTGGACCTGGGCAGCGTCTCAGGTGGAATGGTCTGGAAGTCCATGGGCCACTGGCGGATGGAGACAGATCCCTCGAAGCCCAACTACCGCGTGGTCTTCCTGGAGTGTCGAGGCAAAGCGACTTGGAGAGGAACGAAGCTGTTTCGTTGCCACACCATGCCGAGGTGAGTGGATGTGCTGTAACCTCGGTAACCTGCTTAGTTGATCATTGCTGTTTTGTTTTTTTTTAATCTTGAATGGATTTGAATGGTTGGTGGTGAGGGCAGCTTGGGGCCTAAGGGGAGTACGTTGTACGCTTTATATAAATGCTTTCATGACGGATACTGATATAGAGCCGAGTTGGTCCAGTACAGACGCTGTTTTGGCTAATGCAACTGCAGAGTTGTACTGATTGCGCTTGTCTTTCTCATCATACATGGGGTCGGGGAAGAGGACAGGTCGCAGGAGGTAGTGGTTGTGGCATCAGAAATGACAGAAGGGGCTGAGGCCAAATCAGATCCGCCGTCAACCCAATCACTTCACTCACTTTTGCTGATGTCACTCACTTCACTCACTTCTGTGGCACTTGTTCAATGACTCTCAGCTTTGTTCAAAGCAGACGACCCCTCAACATCTCTGCTCATGTGAGGAACAATGGGTGAAAGCCTTCAGGTCACCCACACCATCATCTAAGGGCTCATGGAATTGAATAGACATCAACAATTCAACATCATCCAAATTTGTTGACTCCGCTGAGGTTCGAAAACGACCTTGTCTGGACGTGAAAGGCAAGCGGATCCTTTGAGAAATCAGTTCGGGGTGGCGACCGGGAGGGGAGTTCAGCGGACTCACCGTTGCTACTGACGAGACATCCAGCGTATGGTTTGTTTTTGGTACCCCTCAGGTCCAAAGCTCAGCAAAATGAGTTTTTGACCTGCAGGATCACCTGAAACCATACGCTTTAGGTTGATTGGAGGCCAGACAGCTAAAGGGTTCAATGATCGATGCCAGTTCCAGACAGGTCCGGTATAGTGGTATGAGTCGATGTTAGAGCATATACTATGATAGAACTCTGGTGTTTTCAAGTGCTTCAGAAGATTCAGAGGAGGATCCAAGGAGGATCCAAAGGATTCAACGAATCTCTTCAGAGGATCACGAACATGCCAGTTTCATTCAGGGAGATCGGGGAGGGAGGATGGTCGCCAGCTCGGTTTGGGGGATGAGCGAAGGAGCAACATGACTGGCATATACTGGGATATCATGTTTTCGAGTTCTTGACATATTTGGACTGGATTGGTGAATGCGACATGTTTTAGCACCACGCCTCCGGAACTCTGAGCAAAAACTCACACGCTCCCCTGGAGTATTTGAGGTGGAGCGTCTCCTCCTATCTGAAGCACGTGGCGCATGTAGCCCAGCAATTCGATCAGCCCAGTGACGCCGTTGGGCGAGATGTCTCGCCTTGAACCGGGTCCTTCGATCCAAACGGAAGAAGTCTAACTGGTTGGGTTGGCAGAAAGAGTTAAATAGAGATCAAATAGAGATTTAACATGGTTTAACGGTTGGCCAGATCAAATAGAGTTAAATAGAGATCTGCATTTTGAGACACTGCCTACAGCAGTCCGGCTACTCACCAGAAAGACATTCTCATCCTCCAGCTGCTAGTAGCAGTAGCCCTTTGGGTGTTGTGTCCGACACAAGGGGACTGGGAGGTGTTGCAGTCCGATAGTACAATGCAGAAGCGTTTTGTTTTTCTGCAGACAAACTTTGGGAAACCTTTGTTCACATCAAAGGGATTCGAACATGGGAGGATTTCCTTTTCCTGGAGGTGTGACTATAGCAAGACTCGACGACATTTTCTTCCGATGATCAAGCCATATCAAGCCACTTCAACTTACCAAGACGGAGAGTCCATTGAAACTTACCAACATGCATAAGACGCAGTGATGACACTTCATCCGCATCGATGGACATCTCTCCATCCAAGCTTTCAGTGTGAGTCTCTCTCCGCTCGAGAGCGAAAATTGGACGAGCCTCGCGGTGGGGATGGAGGAAGGATTTGTGACATACCAGAGCTGTCCACTCCCTGAAATTGGCATGGAAGTGGAAAACCACCTGTTTTGGTATGAGGAAAAGGGTCATCCAACAGCCCATTTGCCACTTTCATGATTCGTGTCCGGAGAGTGTACACCTGGAAAACATTGAGTTTGTGCAAAACAGTGCGTGTTCTAATCTTGCTAGGTATATAATGGTATATATATAATATTCATAGTGGTGGTCGGATTTAGTCCATCAACTATAAGGCCATGATTTGTGACCAAAATCTCAAGCAACCTCTCACGAAGCTGCCTCTTCTCAGGTGCAGAGGCTGCATCTCCTTTTCAGCCATAGAACCTTTGAGCATCTCCCTTTCAGCCATAGAACCTTTGCCCTGGCTTAACTGGGTGGTGGTTGCAGAGATGCTGTTTGTTTTTCAACCTTTACTTGAGCTTGAACCGACTGACTCATATGTGTGTTCAAATGAGTTGAAACCACCAACCAACTTCAGTGAGTTGAAACCACCAAGCATCACCAACCAGTTGTCTCAAGACGTGCATTTCTTCGTTCCATACCGAGTCTTCGGGTCCCAACCATTTGTGACGGTTTCGCTCACACCGGAGTAGTGGCCCCAGCAGACTGTCCCGTATGTATCTTGGAGCAAGTCGGTGAGGATCATCCGACCTCGTTCGCCTTAGGGACCTCCAGTCGGTCAGGGCTGCTCTTGCTTTCCAAAGGAGCAATGAAACCTGAGTCCGTCCAACTGCAGGAGGGAACGTCCAACTTCAGGAGGGTGGGCGCTGGCCGTTAGAAACGGTTTGCTACTGAAGAAGATGTTCCTATCAAGATTTACCGGAACCGTTGGCCGGGTAAAATCAAAGGCTCACCGATTGAACGTCGACGTGACATGTCCATGATGTGAATTGATCCTGTCTTTCGGACTTGTTTGCACTTACAAGCCATCCCAACCTGTAAGGCTTACCGGTTGGGTTTTGGACAAAACACGCATGGCGGAAGCTCAGCACGGATGAGTTCTGAATGAGGCCCGCAAGTGCCAAGTGCGGGCCTGTTGCCCAGCGAAGCAGTTCAGGACCGATCAAACCGGACAGCTGGTTTGTAGTGCGACCTTTCCAAGCAGCAGACACTTACATTTTTTATGTTCATTGGCAGGCGGTGGTTTCAGGGATCATGCAGGCATGTGTGAATATACAGTTTTATATATATGTTACATAATATTACAAATATTACATACACATATGATATTATATGTATTGCATGCATGGAGTGCATGGGTAATGAGTAATGATACAATAAAACACCCATTCGTACGGGGCGCTCGATTTGGTTTGTGAATCTCCGGAAGAGTTGCTGGACATGCTACTACTGTAGCTAGCGACTAGTGAGTCAATCAGCTCGGGGCATCCAGTCAAAAGCTGATCCACAACATTTTCCAAATGTTGCCATACAATATGTAGAGAAGATCCCCTGATCATATACCCTGCCGTCAAATGCATGGAAGCTTTCAGCTAGCCTCCATTCCCAATGATCTCATCAAATCGCATGTTGCCCCAGCTGGAACTGGCAGTTCTGATCTTCCCAAACCACCAGAGCCTTGTGGCTGGCTGAGACCCCTTTTGCATGGAGTATGAACCATCCAAAAATACCAAGAACATCTCACGTAAAGGCATTATCCTCTGATTTCAAGCTGTTGAAGATCATTGACCAGGCCTGGGGAGGAACCACCTTCCAACAGAGCGGTCTTTAAAAACAAAAAGAATACGGTGGAACAGGCCTCCAAAACAGTGGTGGAGTGGTTGAAACCTGCCAACATGTGGGATTTCCTAAGACTGGATCACTGCACAGGACTGCGGAACTTCAACTGCAGATTTAGTCCCTCGGAGACTGGTCGGGGGGATGCTGAGAAGCTGAGGAAAGAAATGCAAATGTTCTTCACAAACCAAGCCCAGACACGGCTAATGGGACTGGCAGATTGGCCGATCCATTGGGGGTGGTTTTTGGCCGATCAATTGGGGGTGGCATTTGGGAAGGTTTTCAAGGGCGTTTGGGATTGATGTCGCCCCTAAGGATCGACTGATAGACGTAGTTGATGTAAACAGCTTCTGATGTCCTTGATGCCCAAGACCAAACCCCAAAAAACAATCTTACCTAGACATTCAGAATCAGCATCTAGTTCAAATGTGTTAGTTATGATATTAGTTGACAGCAAACAACAAACAAATAGGAACAATATGTCACAATCACGCTTCTTGTAGTTTTGACAGCTATATTTAGTGGATCCATTTCTTTGATAGACCGGAACCTATAGCCAACCAATGTAGATCACACAGCATAGGTGCCTGCAGGGAGTGTTTGATGAAGACAAACTGTTGGGACCTATGTAAATAAGGGTGCATCCATGCATGAGATTCTTGTGGATGAATTATCAGGAAGGATATGGAACATATAACTATAACTTACTTTGAATTGCAAAAGGAATGACATTGAATGATTTTTCGGGTCTTAGATTATGGATATTATCTAGGTTAGAGAAACCACACCTCACATGGATTATCGGTCGGCAGTGGACGTGTTACCCAGTCATCGCTCTTGATATCCATCCTCGGACCCTGTCCGCCCAAAATGGGCGGGTTTGTGTGTCCAATGAAGAGGCCAAACGCCCCAATTTTGGTGTTGATATTGGCTCAATTTAGCTCATCTTTGTGTGGCGTGACTCTATTGTGGCCGGTGTCTGCAAGTTGCTGTAGCCGGCTCTTCACCAAAGCCAGTGGCAGCCAGCCAGCCAGACCAAGGACTTGTGCCCCTTCAATTGCACTCTCGCCTGGTCCCACGCGGGACGTTTGCAGTGTCAAAATGACACCTGGCAGGTGCGGTCAGTGTTTTGGGAGGTGGAAAGGAGGCTGAAGGGGGCTGGTACTCAAAGCAGGGTCAGACCACTGGAAAGTACCATGTAAGCTGAAAAGCCTGAAACAACACCTGTTTTCTGGAGGAACAAGTTGTTCCAGTATAGACATTTATAAGAACTATATATAATATATATATATATTTGTCTTCAGAGGAGTAAGATGTTGTTTTGGTGCTTGGATTTGATTTGTAGAAATGGTAATTGAACGCTGGGTTAAGCCATGACTCACAGTGATTGGGGCATCAAGAATCAAGACACTACCTTCTTCCGCTTTTTGGCTGAGCTAAATCTTCACCAACATGTAAGAAGTGTTGCAGAACTTTTGTCCTAAACATTCATACCAGACTGGACTTATACAATAGTGGGCCATCAGAGTAGATGGTACAGACCTCAAGATGTCCTTTACATGGGGGTTCATATGAACCACCGACCTTGGGGTTTGTGCCATTGGTCCTCTCAATCCACTATAGTGGGCCCATCAGTGGGCCCATCAGAGTAGATGGTACAATCCCCAAGTTCGGTGAGCTGGATCCCCATCCGTCCAAAGACATCGCACGGGGTGCCAGGTGCCATCCATCTCACCTCTCAAAACCATCAAAGGCACCCAGAGGTCGGAAGTCTTTCCGTGTAGGTTGACCACCCTACTAGACCACCCTTCCGGTTCATCGACTCAGAGTGTAAAAACCACGGATTGTCCGGGGCCATATCATCCCACCATCATTCCACCATCCATTTCCACCCAAAGAGACCCACAGCACCTTCACCGGGAAAGCCGGAGGGACCTCCCGCCACCGCCACACGCCCCGCTCTGACGTCCGTTTGGGTCCAACGGGTCAGGCGGATGACCCGAACGACCTGCCCCGGTGCATTGCACCGTGCTTGGCAGAGACCTTGGCAAATGGATACGGCGACGCAGCAGCAAGAGGGACATGAGGTAGGGAGTTTGTTTCTAGGGATTGGTAATTCAAGTGGGGGGCGACAGCGAAAGCATCAAAGAATTCTGTCCACCATGCTGAATTTGTTGGAGATGCTGAGGGTGAAAAGCATCAAACACCACCAACACGAGGACATGATTTCTAGTTAACGTGTCTTGCTTCGACTTTGAAATCCCAAGTGGCCTATATAATTCTTAAGCCTTCAATCCATTTCAGCGGTGAACCATCACCCATCAAGTCCGAAGCACTACTTCAATCCAGTCGACCTACCACCTACCACCCCTCACCTACCTTCTTCTGCTTCCGCGAACATCAAGCTCTCTTTCAAGGTGAGCGCGCCGACGTGCTGGGCTACTTGCCGGGCTTTTGGGCCTCCCCCGAGACGCCGCCCACCACGACCACCACGGGGATGCCCTGTGACACGGTGGGCGCGCAATCCTGTGGCCTGGAGAGAAGGGAACGGAGGAGGGAATCCGCCACAGAATGGGGAGGAAGAGGACGAGGTCCGTGGCTAAGAGGTGAAGGGTGAAGGAAGGAAGGAAGGAAGGAAGGAAGGAAGGAAGGAACATGGAGTTATTGGGAGTTCGTGGCGGATGTTCGTGGGAATTCATGTGCTGGGACCATG